CACTTGATTCCGCGAATGTGAAATAGACATGTTTATAATCAACCAATTGTGAATTTCACCGTCAAGAATTAAAATAAAACCCAATGTTTTATATAATAAGCGGAAGTCGAAGCAATAAAACCGACGGTCGTTTTGTTTACAGTTTCTGTGTTTGGCTCTCACGTATGCTGTTACGCCTGTCATCTTAAATTAACAATGTTTATACATACACGATTTTCAGTTGCCTCTGATACGTAGGTATACGTGAGTAAATTGTTTCGTTATTTTATTGATTATTACAAATCAATATTCAAACGACCCAATTCATTTTCCCGAAAATTTGAGAATATAATAATTTTATTCTTAGTATTACACTACATCTATCCCAACTGATATACGTGTCCTTGCAAAAATGTTGATGACGTCATCGCAATTTTTTTTTAAATTCCCACTACAAAAATGTAATGAGAAAAAAAACACAATAGGCATGCAGTCGTCAAGTTTCCGACAGCGAGGGAAGTACTGTCTAAACTCTTTAGACCAATTTTTTTCATACATGTTATAACCTACCTATAATGCTTTGCCCACCCATCAAAAATCACCACGAGCCGCCACTGCTCTATACTGTGGAGCAGGGACTATGGAGTATGTTTCGGTACGTACAACTGAAGATAAAAAACGCACTGTCAGACTGTCACCCACCCTTGTGTTATAAAACAATCTCGTGTTCGTGTAGTGTCATCTGATGTTGCCTAGCAACAAATATAATTCACTGCCTGAAAATTGCTGAAAATGTATGAAGCTGTAATTTTCAGAAGTTAAAACTACGATCAATCGATTTCTTGACCCAAAAAACCCCCAACCTGTAAATTTCGAGAAACCCATTATACAGGGTGTCTCAGAAATAAGTACATTAATTTTAATCAGTTATAGAGCTCATTGAACTCAACAACTTTTTTTAATAGAGTTTTGTCAAGAACTTTTTAATTATCAAGTTAAAAATTGTTCAAGTTTTATCCCAATTAAGGTTACCCGCCCATGGATCCTCAGTCACCCATGGACACTAATAATTATTATAATTAATAATTTATGGTCAAAAACAGTTACTAGGATACATATTTTCCTAATCTTGTCAATGTGACAAACATTTAGAGAGAAATTGAAAATCCTGCTCCCTAATGGCGTACGGAATTTCATCGGCCCAAATGTGGGTGTTGATTACACATTCCCTCGTGTAACGGACCTCATCAGTTGATGGTATAAAAGATACAAAATTTGCTTGTTCGTTTATTTTTCTATTAACCTACTCACAAAAGTTTTGCCTACGTGGTAAGTCTGTTAGTTTCAATAACTGAATTTTCTGGTTCTGAAAGGGGTACATTTGTTCTCTGAGTATCCTCCAAATAATACTCTCCGATACATCACACTAGACAGTGATGCGTGCTAGTGCTCGGTCGAGCTTCGACACTCTTCAAAACAGCCTCTTCAATATTAGCAATTCTACATATTACTACGTAACTTACCCTGATCCTGAGGTGCAACTTTAAAAGATCCGCACTCTCGAAGATGCTGCAACGCTCTTAAAAGTGCGCATATTTGGCAGACGATTTGGGAGGCTTTCTGAAAAAATTCTTTGGGCGCGAGTGTCGTTTCCCCGAGCTTCACCGTACGTTAAAACGATATCGGTGCATTCCAAATTTGAAAACAAAGCCATTTCAACACATTTCGTCTATAAATTAGAAACCTGTGCCAAACAAACTTTAAAGAGACAACGTTTAATAACATACACTTGACATAAAAATGATTGTCAGTGTCAAAACGGTTGCTGGGGTACCTTCTTCATTGTTGTAGTGTTGTTATTATTTAAATTATTATTTAAGGTGAACATAGACGGCTCGTGAATATATGGGTGGGAAAATTCGAAATTCGACTTGAGTTTTCGAAAAAATGGTAGATAAAAAAGTTGTTCCGTTTCACGAGTTCTGTTACTGGTTAAAATTAATGTACTTATTTCTGAGACACCCTGTATATATATATTTATATATACAGTGGACGCCGCTTAATGTGATCACACAGTTCTTTTATATTGCGAAATTTACTTTAGCTAGATTTATTACAGTTACGAATCATGATTATTAGGAAATGTCATGTATTGTACGAGGGTCAGTCAATTATGAACCGGAATTCTGTTTTTTCGAAAACTGTACTAATTCTAATAAGCTGCCATAAATCAGTGGCGGCTCGTCAGATGAGGCAAGTGAGGCGGCGCCTCACAGCATATATCTTAAGAACAGATTGACTTAATTTATAATTAAAAAAGAGCTTTCAATGCATTTTTAGTTACTAAAATTTGTTGAAATGACAAATCTGTACATGATTTTTTATTTTTTACGCTTCCTGCTGACATTTTCCGTTGAATACCGTACGATTTATGCCCCTAGTTCTTTAACTGCAGCGGCCAGAACGTCGGTTCACTTGAACCAGCGAAGCCCAATCAGAGACACGGATTTCCATGGCTCAGCTCCTATACTCCTATACATGCGTTCGCTCGGAACTGAGGCGATATCTTCGGTGCTTCTCGGCCAATTTCGGCATACTCATTAAACTATTTTTCCATGTATTTTACAGAACGGTAGGGTTGCGGGGTGCGTGGGTAATTAGCATGAACGTGAATAAAAACCCACGTGTTGGTGTTTTGTGTTATTGTCTCTTTCATAGGTACAGGTGACTGAAAAATGAATCCCGAGTACGATATCGTCATGTTGCTTTTTGAAACTCCGGTTTCACGGCGAACCGAGCTAGAACGTCGGCGAATTTTGCTAAATATCGGGCAGTCAAAACCGTTAATTCATTTAACTTCCACTGATAAGCGACAGAATCGTCAGTCCTCCAAGTCTTTTAAATCAACTTGGTACCTGTGAAACATATAAATGGCTTTGCCGTAATATTTACACAACATCCCGGGATATGACGATTTAAAGAATTTCATCCGAAGTGCAAAGTTACATGAAAGTTCCAAAGTACACATTAAAAATTTCATGGGCTTAAAACGTTTAGAAAAGAATACAACAACTATGCCCGAATCCCTCCAAGAAAGTACTACTTTCAACAAAATTTTGACTTGTAAAAACATTGTTGATTCAATGTGTTATGGGTGTTATTATTATTATTATTATTATTATTAGGGCCTACCACTGACCCGGGAATGACCGGTATTCAGGCAAGACTTCTATCATTACTAACTAGTAAGACCAAGTAATATTACTATTATTGTCAAATTTCTATCATCGCCTCACCACATCAGACAGTCACGAGCCGCCACTGCCATAAATAGAATATGAAGGTAGGAATGTAGAGAAGGGATGTGGCCATAGCGGCAGCCGATATCTTTTTGCAATGAGCAGTAGCATCATGTCGAAGCAACCAGTGCCAGCGTCGGTTGCACAACGCATTATCATTAAATTTCTCGCAAAAGAGGGCGTCAAATCCTCCGAAATTTTAACCAAATTGCTTGCACACTTCGGGGAAGAAACGTTGTCAAAAACTCAAGTGTACGAATGGTCCAGAAAATTTAAGGAGGGGCGTGAAAAGGTTGAAAATGAGAGTCACCATAGTCCTCACAACCATTTTTTTTTTTTGTGACTGGAGAGGAATATTGCTTGTCGACTTCTTCATGAACGTCGTACTGTAAATGCTCCATAGTACTGCCAGCTTTTGGATGATGCAAAAGCCGCGTACAGATCCAAAAGACGCCAAACTCCAATCCGAGACGTAATTTTGCTTCACGAAAACGCTCGACCGCACACAGCCCTTTTAACGTCATAAAAATTGATTGACTTTGGCAAGTCTTCGAACATCCCGCCTGTAGCCCAGATTTGTCGTCCTGTGACTATCATTTGTTTGGTCCACTGAAAAGGGGCAATGGGAGGGCAGCGTTTCGAAAGCGACAACGATGTGGAGCGGTTCGTGCGCAACTGGGTTGTGACACAGCCTCAAATATTTTATGATAAAGGAATTAAAAAGCTTCCTGGACGTTGGCAAAAATGTGTAGCCCTTCAGGGAGACTACGTAGAAAAATTCTAGACATCGTTTGTACTTTTGTTTTGCATTATTAAATTAATAAAAAATAATTCCGGTTTATATTTGACTGACCCTCGTATTCAAATAAATATATCACAATTGGTTTAATACATACTTTGTCTATGCAGACAATATCAACAACTGTCGACGTAGTTGCTTCCTCACTTGTAGAAGATACACCACTAGTGCCCAGTTCCTCAATACAACCATTAATAGCCATCCCCAGAACATCGCAAGAAATACCAATCGCGAGTACATCTCGAAGTGAAAAACGAAAGCGCCCGTTGTTCAAGGGGATTGAAGGCCTATCACGTGCTGAGAGTACACCAAGTTATATTTGGGATTGAATTTTCATAGTCGTTAATGTCACATTATGCTTCATGTAGCACTTGTTGCTATATTATACTCTCCTATTTATGAAGTTTTTGCGTAATTAGTCCTATGACAGGTTTTTTTTTTGTGTACTGAACATCAGATATGTTACTTCCGTTTAAAGTCATTTCACTGTTGAGCTCAATTGCAATGACGTTGAACCGAAGTGAGATATTGCTGTTCAGTGCAAACGATAGAAAAATTAACGCAATCAGAGCAATCAAATTTCAAAATCTTCGCGGTAAGACGCTAACAGCGCCATCTGCTTTCACTTGAGATTACAATCGCCCAGCTAAGTTGTTAGGAGTAAAAATTTACACACAGTTGCACATCTCGAAGTTATCTCTGGTCATACTAATGTGGCGTTAAAAATAAAAATTCCAATATTAGTGTAATCCTTTCCACAAAACTGAAAAAGGCGGCACACAATGTCACCAAAGTCATGGCCTTCTTCGACTACAATATTTTATAATGACCCTGTATAAGATTTATTATAAGATAATACTTAGATAGATTGTATAAATATTAGAACAAAAATGCTTGCTACTGGCAAACGATAACAACGTATAAAAATGTAGCCAATCTCTATTTACCTTTTTAACTGCACTTTATTTTTTTCTTTATTTCTATTTTGTCACAAGTTAGTCGTTAGTAGTCTGTGTTCGTTAATGAGACATGGAAGAAGGATGCAGGAAATCGTGTTTGCCGACGCGTGTGCTAATACAGAATGATGATGAAAATATTCCATTGACTAAGATTCAGACGTCAAGGGCTGGAGCTGAGTCGCGTTATGAAAATTGTTTTGACGAGGTGAGTCTTTTTAGCTTTGTGAGAGAATACCCAAAAAATGACAGTAATTTCGGCAACGTTGATCCGTATTAACGAGACTATAAGGATGAAAATTGACGACTTACAGCCCGTATTTTTCATGTACAGGCAGACATCGACCACGATGCACACCTAGACCACCGCGAATACGTAGTCATCCTCGAGGATCTGAGTAATGTCGTAGTTTCCAAAAGAAAACGAAAAGAATCGGAGGAGTTAGATTTGCGAACTATGTGGAAATTGTGGTGGCCTCCTAGACTCGAAATGATAATTATTTCTTGTTTCCAAATATTTTTTTTCTTCATTGATGAAAGTAAAAAGGGGAATTCTGCGATGGGACCCATTGGCAAGCTGTTTATTTATGACCCGATGAAGAGATACGAGTTTTGGAGGTACTTGACGTACATGTTCGTGCATAGAGGGTGAGCATTTAATTATTATCTAATGTTGAAAATTGATGTTTTTTCCCAAAGTTATGACCATCTCATTCAGAATCTGGTAGTACAAATCTCACTCAGCAATCTTCTTGAGAAGACCCACGGCTGGTGGCGGGTTCTCGTTATTTATCTCGCAGGAGTAGTTGCTGGTTCCCTGGGTACTTCTATTACAAATCCCACCCGTACACTGGCGGGGGCCAGCGGCGGTGCCTTCTCAATTCTCACTGCCCACATCGCTGCCATAACCATGGTAAACTCCAAATCTAACTTACAATACAAATATAACACTTTTCCAGAATTGGCCAAAAACGCGCCTTCCAGAAATACAACTCACAATGTTCGTTCTTGTTACTGTTGTAACCCTCGGTTTTCCCATCTGCAGCAGCTATTGGTTCAATGAGGCCGACCAAACCGCACACACTGCTCATTTTATTGGGGCTTTGGCAGGTTTCTTAGTCGGCGTAGTTGTTTTAAAGAATCTAAAACTTACAGAGAAAGAAAACGTAACGTGGTGGATTGCCGCGGCTGTTTATATGATATTGATGCTGGTCGGAATCTGTTGGAACATTTTTTACAGTGATTATTTCCCCAAACAAATTTAAAGCGTGCTTTTTATGTTTTTTTTTTAATAAAATTTTACAAAATCACCTCGTGTTTTAATTTAATTTGTGGCGTAAAGAAATCAGTAGTTTTTGAACAATGAAAGAGAATTCCGATTATTTACATTGACAATGTCATTAATATATTCACCAAATAAAATCAGTCCCAGGATGAACCTTGAGGAGCTCTAGTTCCTGAAATAAATAATTAGAGAGTGGAAAATATGCAGCAAAATTTTGAGAAATATGATCATATGATATGCACCAAATTTATGCAAATATGCAGTAACTTTCCTAATATATGCAGAGATATGCAGTTGCATATGCTCCAAAAATTAAAAAAAGCTTAATAAGCGAACTAGATTTATTTATAAATTACAAAAACAGGTTTCCCGAGCTTACGCTTACATAAATCACATTGCAAAGTGTTTAATTAGGTGCATCTATTAACACATTAATTACATTTTCAGAGATAACATTCTTATACTAAAAAATAAATATAATAAACAGAACAAATTAAGAAATAGTAATCCACTATTTGATTACTATTTTGGTATCAATTTATTTTTAAAAATTTTTCTAAATATTCTAACAAAAAGTTTTTCCGGTGATTCTAAAGTATATGTATTTGTAAATAGAAAAACTGAGTACTACGTCCACAGATGTAAAAATACTTCCCGGTTTAGAGCAGGCGCGACAAAACACAGTTCGTTCTTAAAGAATAAGTTCAGGAAAAGGTTTAATCCATAAATTGATTTGAGTTATCTTCGACATATTGATACACCTGTATCCCTTTAACTGCTTTCAATACAAACTCACGATGAAAAATAATAGTATAACGTTTCTTCGACCACCACTAAACATACCATTAATACACTTAACTAACGAACAAAAATATTGGGAACGAACGGTATTTCCAAAAGTAATTAGGGCGCGAATTTACCTGGAAGGATGGCTTAACACCCAGTGGTGTCTCCAAACTACCATAAAACCCAAACCTTTCCTACTTGTTTGAAGGTCAGGACAATATTTGCAATATGATTAATAAAATTTCGTCTTTCTAGATAAATGCCGATAGAATGGCAATCATTTTTTTGTCAATTTAGCACAAAAATTGATAAAAATGCAAAATATGCACCCGTTCCGTGAAATATGCAGCAGAAATATATGCAAATATGCAATTTTTTTATAGCTGTATTCATTTTTAATTAGCATGATTCGTTCACATATTAAATATCAAGACTTATATGCAAAAAATAACGGATATGCAAATTTCATAAAATCCGCTCTCTATAAAATAACTAGTGTGGATTTGAAACCATCAATATTTACAAAAAGATATCGTTTGTGTAAATCTAATTCCAATAGTACTATTATAACAATTGGCGGTTATTATTTAAATTATCGGTACCTATCAGACAAACATTGAATTATCGAAATCAAGTTTGCTTCAGTAAATATAACGCCTGCTGATAAACTGATATAGATAAACTACTTCATAAAACTCGTCAGTCTCAAACTAATAGAAATAGATGACTGCACTGTTAAAAATAATAATGGAACGTATTTTTTGAACGCGTTGTTCAGAAAAAGATCTCTTGTCGATATCGCTATTATTAGTGTCTGAACTGTGGCCGCAAAAGAATACAAGTAAGTATTTCGATTCCTTCGACAATGGAGAAGGCGAACGACGTTAATATTCCGGAGGACTATCAAGACAACACGCCTCCGTCTTCTACGAGTATGCACTATTTTAGGGCTAGTTTTGAGAGGGTAAGTGGATTTTGGGTTTGGTAAGATGAGTAAAAGGGATAGACAATTACGGGATGCGGGTCATAAAGTAACCTCATTTGACATACACCTTGTAAAACTTTTATGACTTAAGCGGCTTAAGCAAACCACCCTTATAAGTCAATTTATTCAGGTCCAACTCTATCTCAAAAAGAACCATAATTCTCCCCACAAGACCGTAAAAATAAAACTAAAAAGTGTGTTGTTTTCATTTGCAGGCATGCCCCGACCACAACGGCTTCGTCACACTTGAGGATCTCGAAACCAGCATCTCCAGAATCAGTTTTTCTGAAAAGCCAGTTCCACACTACATAGCGCAAAAATTTCGCCAAATCGCACGTCTGAGTTGGAACGAACTCGGAAACTTGATGAACGACCCAAAATTTGAATCCAGTTTCAACTCATACGTCACCAAAAATGCGGATTTTAATACTACAAAAAGGCTGCCAAGTGTCTTCAATTCGTGTTGGCCTCCAGGGGTCTCAATGACAATAATTTCTATCATCCAGGTTATTGTCTTCTTGGTCGATGAAGTCAATTCTACGACGAGACCCATGGGTAAAGTGTTGTTTTATGACCCGGCCCACAGATACGAGTTTTGGAGATACTTGACGTATATGTTTGTTCATACAAGGTGAGGAGTTGGACTCTGAAAGTAGTGACTTTTTTTTGCTTTAAAAGATCTGTGCCTTGCGTTCTCACCCTTATAATACAGATGACTTGGGGCACCTATTTCGAAAGGGTCAACGGTTGGCGGCGCACTCTCGTCTACTACTTTGGAGCAGCGGTTAGTACCTCCTTGGGGGTGTCCATAGCAGTACCCACTTTCAAACTAACAGAGGGCACTTTCATCGCACTCTTGTTTATGGTTTTAAATGTTGCCTTTCCAATCATGGTAAAATTATAATCTAACTAAGTGTTTATCATAAAAGGGTTCTGTTTTTGTTCTTCTAGGACTGGGTCACTACGAGAAACCGAACAGTACGATTCATATTTTTCACCCTTGCGACTGGTTCAAGCATCGCTATTTTAATCTTTAGCGTGTCATATAGTATGCACTTTTTGTATTTATTTGGAGTTGTGGCAGGTGTCTTAGTCAGTCTAGTTACCCCCGAGAATTTAATAGTTACAAAGAGACAACATACAATTTGGTGGATTGTTGGGGCTATTTATATGATACTGATGTTGGTTTTCATCTTCTGGAACATTTTCTATACTGATTATTTCCCGAAACAAGTGTAAAACGACTTTTGTAGCGAATTTTTAATAAAAATGAAAAAATACATCGTTTGTTTTATTGTCATTGCAGGAAAATGTGCCGCCTTCTCCAAAAACGAACCGCATTATAATCGTGGCGCGTTTTTTAAAAAGTGAGTGACAGTCATGTCATATTTGAAATTTGTGTCGGCTAACTTCGATAAACAAAATAAACATAAGTAAATAATTTCCGTGTACTTGAAATTTGCCCGTTATATTTATAATTGCACTTTTTATTTGTGAACACATAGTAGATAAGATATGTTATTTCTATATCTGATAAGTTATTCGTTTCTGAGACATGGAAGAAAGATACACAAGATCGGGTTCTCCGACACGTGTGCCAATACCGAATGATGGTGATGAAAATATTCCTTTGACCAAGATTCAGACGTCAAGGGCTGGAGCTGAGTCGTACTATAAAAGTATTTTTGACGAGGTAAGTGTGTTCAACCTTGACGGCGAAAACTGACGTGTTTTTCGTTTACAGGCAGACATCGACCACGATGGCTACATCACAATTCAGGAGCTCTGCACCATGATCAACAATAACCACCTAACTGAAAAGCCCATCCCGTCCCATATAGTGCGAAAAATCCACCAAGTCGCCGACATCAACCACGATGGACACCTAGACTACCGCGAATTCGTAGACATGCTCAACGATCCCAAAAATTACTCGATTTTCGAGCGATACGTAACCAAATACGTGAATTTCGTAGTTCCTAGGAGACAACCAGAAGAATCGGAAGAACCATATCTGGAAACTATCTACGAAGAAGAATATTCGTGTTGGCCCCCTAGACTCGGGATGGTCATTATTTCCTGCATCGAAATCATTTTTTTCTTCATTGATGAATTGAAGGAGACGAATTCCACGAATTCTGCCACGGGACCCATGGCTAAGTTGTTTATTTATGACCCGACAAAGAGATACGAGTTCTGGAGGTACTTGACGTACATGTTCGTGCATATTGGGTGAGCATTTATTATAAAATCATTGAAAATTTGTGTTTTTCCAAAGTTATTCACATCTTGTTTACAATCTGGTAGTACAAATCTTCATTGGTATACCGCTTGAAATGGTCCACGGTTGGTGGCGGGTTCTCCTTATCTACTTCGCAGGAGTGATTGCTGGCTCCCTTGGGACGTCTATTACAAACCCGACTTTCAAATTAGCGGGGGCTAGCGGAGGCGTCTACTCTCTAGTCACTGCTCACATCGCTACTATAATCATGGTAAACCCAAAATCTAACTTTTTACAATATTAGAGTAACGCTTTTCCAGAATTGGGCAGAAATGAGCTTTCCTGTAATACAACTCATAATTTTCATTATTATAACTGGTGGAGACTTCAGTATTTCCATCTACAATCGCTATTGGGTCAAAGAAGACGAGCAAACCGGATACGCTGCTCATGTTACAGGGGCTTTGGCAGGTCTCTTAGTCGGGATAGTTGTTCTAAGGAACCTGAAACTCACAAAGAAAGAAAACGTGATGTGGTGGATTGCCGTGGCTATTTATATGATATTGATGTTAGTCGGAATCTGCTGGAATTTGTTCTATACTGATTATTTTCCCAAACAAGTTTAAAATCACTTTTGTATATATATATTTTTTTTTAATAAAAATAAAAAACTAAATCAGTGGTCACCATTATTATGTTACGTAGCACACTTGTACGTTAATTCTGTTCAAGTCTGTACTCCCGGTGAAACTTAGTGTCTTTTGTCTGACGGTTGGTATTGGTTGGTTATTTTTCCTGGATAACCTGCGTACGAAGAAAGGTTATGTTTTTTAAGTTGTGAAAAAGTAAATCAGGTATTAAACAGGTAAAATTGTTGTTAAATAAGTAATTGTGTCGTTTTAGGGGAACGTGTTAACGTTGGTAATCATTGAGGTCCCTGAATTTCCATACCAACAGATTGCTTTTTCAATTGTGTTCCAGATAGCTTTAAAAAAAGCAACGTCGTCGAAATCAGGTATGTACATATCAAGCTATTGTTTAGATTTAAAAGAAATAGATTAGTGTGTATAGAAGAAATTAAAGAGATGATGAGTCTTGCTTGTCGAGTATGCCCAATATTGTTTACGGTAATACCTAACTCATAATGCCAAAACTAGAAAAAATTAATTTGCTTGCTTTAACTAGTTCAAGTAGACCAGTTGGTTAATTCAAAAGAAGCTTTTCTCGACCGAAATTATGTTGTGAAAATTAAAGAAAATTCGTCCGCTCAGTCGGTAATTGACAATTCCATAACCTGTCAACTGTGACAATTTGAATTTTAAAAAAATTAAAAACGTGAGTTGTAACCTCACAAACAAGTTCTTTTAACGTTGTTAAAAAAACTATCCTATGTTTAAACACAGAAAACGTGTTTTATAACCAATAAAACAAACTGTTTTTTTTTACACTTTTTACATTGTTGTCAAATTTTGTATGTAGACGGTAAAACGTAGAAAGTCACTTTTATTGGCTGTCCTATTTTAATTTTAATTAAATTGGTGCGAATAAAAATATTTTTAGAAACACGCAATGAATAGTTCGTCTTGGGGGAACGAAAAATCTCCAAAATATTATCCTAGAAAGATTTTCGGATTTTTAATTTTTTCTTTCTCCAATATTTTCATTTGCAATTTTTTGCTACTTCACCTTTGAGATTTACAATTTCTAGATTCCATTGTTTTTCTATTTTTGAATTTTTCGGTTCTTCAATTTCTCGTGTTGCACTTTTTTTGAAATTTTAAATTTAAAATTTTGCTTTTTGAATTTTCAGAATTTTCAGTTTTTTGATTTTTTATTTTTCGTTTCCGCAATTTTTTGATTTGCAATTTTTTGAGTTTCAAGTTTAATTTTTTTAATTTTTAGATTTTGCACTTTTGAATTTTTAAATTTTTCAGTATTTCGTTACTTCACCTTTGAGATTTACAATTTCTAGATTCCATTATTTTTAATTTTCATTTTTTCGATTTTTAATTTTTCGTTTCCACAATTTTTTGATTTGCAATTTTTTGAGTTTCCAGTTTAAATTTTTTAATTTTTAGATTTTGCACTTTTGAAGTTTTCGATTTTTCAATATTTCTTTTGAGATTTGCAATTTTTAGATTCCACAGTTTTTCTATTTTTGAATTTTTCTGTTCTTCAATTCCTCGTGTTGCATTTTTTTGTAATTTCAGATTTAAAATTTTGCTATTTTTTTTTAATTTTCATTTTTGCGATTTTTAATTTTTCGTTTCCACAATTTTTTGATTTGCAATTTTTTGAGTTTCCAGTTTAAATTTTTTAATTTTTAGATTTTGCACTTTTAAATTTTTCGATTTTTCAAAATTTCGTTTGAGATTTGCAATTTCTAGGTTCCACAGTTTTTTTATTTTTTAATTTTTCGGTTGTTCAATTTCTCGTGTTGCGATTTATTTGAGATTTCAAATTTAAAATTTTGCTTTTTAATTTTTTTCGAATTTTCGGTTTTTCGATTTTTAATTTTTCGTTTCCGCAGTTTTTTGATTTGCAATTTTTTAAGTTTCCAGTTCACATTTTTTAATTTTTAGATTTTGCATTTTGAATTTTTCGATTTTTCCATATTTGGTTACTTCATCTTTGAGATTTGCAATTTCTAGATTCACAGTTTTTCTATTTTTGAATTTTTCGGTTCTTCAATTCCTAGTGTTGCAATTTTTTGAAATTTCAAATTTAAAATTTTGCTTTTTATTTTTTTGGAATATTCGTTTTTCGATTTTTAATTTTTAGATTTTGCGCTTTTGAATTTTTAGATTTTTCAATATTATTTTGAGATTTGCAATTTCTAGATTCCACAGTTTTTCTATTTTTGAATTTTTCGGTTCTTCAATTTCTCGTGTTGCATTTCTTTTTTCGAATTTTCAGTTTTTCAGTTTTTCGATTTTTAATTTTTCGTTTCTGCATTTTTTGAGTTTCCAGTTTAAATTTTTTAAATTTTACATTTTGCTCTTTTGAATTTTTCGATTTGTCAATACTTCATTACTTCTTGCAATTCCAAACTACACAATTTTACAATTTTTGAATTTTTCTTTTCTTCAATTTCTCGTGTTGCATTTTTTTGAAAGTTCAAATTTAAAATTTTGCTTTTTCATTTTTTTGGAATTTTCAGTTTTTCGATTTTTAATTTTTCGTTTCCGCAATTTTTTGAGTTTCCAGTTTAAATTTTTTAATTCTTAGATTTAGCACTTTTGAATTTTTCGATTTTTCAATATTTCGTTACTTCACCTTTAAGATTTGCAGTTTCTAGTTTCCACACTTTTTCTATTTTTGAATTTTTCGGTTCTTCAATTTCTCGTGTTGCATTTTTTTTTAATTTCAAATTTAAAATTTTGCTTTTTAACTTTTTTCCGAATTTTCGGTTTTTTGATTTTCAATTTTTCGTTTCCGCAATTTTTTGATTTGCAATTTTCGAGTTTCTGTTTAAATTTTTTAAAAATCTAAGTAACTATAAAATCCAAAAATTGAAAAATTCGAGACTTGATAAATAAAAACTTTGAAAAACTTGAAGCAAAACTCGAAAAATTGAAAATCTAAGAAAAATGAGAAATTCGAGAAATTGTAAAATCGTAAAACTAAAAAAAATTTAAAACTCAAAAATGGGTGTTATTAAAAATGCCCAGTCAGCACTATACAAAGCAATGGTGGAAGCAATTAAAAATTAAGTAATTAAGAAAAATTTAAATAAAAAAATTGAAAAATCCAAAAACTGTAAAATCGTCAAAATTGCAGTTTTAATAAATTTGTTCTTTTCGAATTATTTAAATTAAAACATTAAAAAATTGAGAACTCGATTAATTGAAATAAGGAACAATTAAAATGTCTACAAATTGAAAAATTTAATTATTGAATAACTACAAATCCAAAATCTGAGAGACAAAACCAAAAAATATAAATTTCCATAAATTGTAAAATTGAAAAATTAAAGATCGAAAACTAGAAAACCTAAAATCGGAAAACTATAAAGTCGAAAAATTCAAGAAACAAAAATAAAAAAATATTAATAAACGTGAAACCGGAAAATCCGAAAACTGAATAAACAAATCGACAAATCGAGCAAACTGTAAAATCGAAAAATTGTAAATTAAAAAATTGGAAAAACCAAATATTGATAAATCAAAATTTTGAAAAAAAAATTGCAAAATAAAAATCGAAAAACTGGAAAATCGTAAGACCAAAAAGTGTAGAATTTTCAAAAATTCGAAAATGGGTTGTATTAATCTAAAAATTTAAAAATCGAAAAATTGAAGCATCCGAAAATTGAAAAATTTCACATTGAAAATTAGAAAAATTAGAATATCAAAACAGTGAAAGATCGAAAAGTTGTAAAAATAAAGAAAATAAAAACCGAAACCAAAGATTGCAAATCGGGAGATAGAAGAAATAAAAAATTAAAGAATTGAAAAATTGGAAAATCAAAAATTTCAATATTTCGTGTTCTCGATTTTGTAGTTTCTCAATTTTTAATATTTCGATTTTTCAATTTTTCTTTTCTTCAATTATTCAAACTCATAATTTAGAAATCGACAAATTGAGCCAACTGTGAAATCGAGAAATTGTAAATTAAATTGAAAAAATCAAATATTGATAAATCACAATTTTGAAAAACTTAAAATTGAAAACTCAAAAACTTGCAAATCGAAACATTGTACAATTAAAAAATTGCAAAATAAAAACCGAAAAATTGAGAAATCGTAAAACCAAAAAGTGTATTATTTTCAAAAATTTGAAAATGGGTTCTATTAATCTAAAAGTTTAAAAGTCGAAAAATTGAAAACGGAAAAGTTGAAGCATCTCAAAAATTGAAAAAATTCACATTGAAAATTAGAAAAATTAGAATATAAAAACAGTGAAAAATCGAAAAGTTTTAAAATAAAGAAAATGAAAACCGAAACCAAAGATTGCAAATCGGGGGATAGAGGAAATAAAAAATTAAAGAATTGAAAAATTGTAAAATTAAAATTGTAAAATTAAAAATTTCAGTATTTCGTGTTCTCGATTTTGAAATTTCACAATTTTTAAATTCCGATTTTTCAATTTTCCGTTTCTTCAATTTTTCAAGCTCTTAATTTAGAAATCGACAAATTGAGCTAACTGTGAAATCGAAAAATTGTCAATTAAATTGAAAAAATCAGATATCGATAAATCAAAATTTTGAAAAACATAAAATTTGAAACTCAAAAACTTGCAAATCGAAACATGGTACAACTAAAAAATTGCAAAATAAAACTCGAAAAACTGAGAAATCGTAAAACCAAAAAGTGTATAATTTTCAAAAATTCGAAAATGGGTTCTATTAATCTAAAAGTTTAAAAATCGAAAAATTGAAAACCGAAAAATTGAAGCATCCAAAAACTCAAAAATTTCACATTGAAAATTAGAAAAATTAGAATATCAAAGTAGTGAAAAATCGAAAAGTTGTAAAAATAGAGAAAATAAAAACCGAACCCAAAGATTGCAAATCGGGGGATAGAGGAAATAAAGAATTAGAGAATTAAAAAATTGTAAAATTAAAAATTTCAATATTTCGTGTTCTCGACTTTGATGTTTTTTCAATTTTTAATATTTCGATTTTTCAATTTTTCGTTTCTTCAATTTTTCAAGCTCTTAATTTAGAAATCGACAAATTGAGCTAACTGTGAAATCGAAAAATTGTCAATTAAATTGAAAAAATCAAATATCGATGAATCAAAATTTTGAAAAACTTAAAATTGAAAACTCAGAAACTTGCAAATCGAAGCATTGTACAAATAAAAAATTGCAAAATAAAACTCGAAAAACTGAGAAATCGTAAAACCAAAAAGTGCATAATTTTCAAAAATTCGAAAATGGGTTCAACTAATCTAAAAGTTTAAAAATTGAAAAATTGAAAACCGAAAAATTGAAGAATCCAAAAACTCAAAAATTTCACATTGAAAATTAGAAAAATTAGAATATCAAAGCAGTGAAAAATCGAAAAGTTGTAAAAATAAAGAAAATAATAACCGAAACCAACGATTGCAAATCGGGGGATAGAAGAAATAAAAAATTAAACAATTGAAAAATTGTAAAATTAAAAATTTCAGTATTTCGTGTTCTCGATTTAGAAATTTCAGTTTTTAAATTCCAATTTTTCAGTTTTTCGTTTCTTCAATTATTCAAGCTCTTAATTTAGAAATCGACAAATTGAGCTAACTGTGAAATCGAAAAGTTGAAAATTAAATTTAAAAAAATCAAATATAGAAAAATCAAAATTTTTGAAAAACTTAAAATTGAAAACTGAAAAACTTGCAAAATCGAAAAAGTGGAAAATCAAAAACTGAAGAAACAAACATTCATAAAATTTCGATAAACTTGAAAATCGAAATATTAAAAATCGAGAAATTGGCAATTTCAAAAACTGCATAAACTTTAAAACTGAAAAATTCAAAAGTTCAAAAATCAAAAAAATAAACTTGAAAGCCTTTGGGGTTTTTAACCCAGTTCAGCGCTGCCAACCCACACGGGCGGCTCCCCCTCCAAACGTCAAAAGAATTGACAGCCGACGCGAAACAGTGAGGTTATGTAGTCAACTCTTCATCGGCGTCTTTCGGTGTTCTTCTGACAAGAAAACCATGTCAAACCGCTCGAGCTTCACCGTCGACGACGACTTCACCATGGAGGTGCACGAGGAAGCCGACACCGACTCCACCGTCGCCGCAATCAAACAAGAACCAGAAGACACCAAACCCATCATAGTTAAAGACGAGCTCGACCTCCACTGCAACGACGAAGCAATACCCCTCGAGACCAAAAAAGAACTCCACCACTTTTTCGCCAGGAACAAGAAGACTGACCCCAAAGGCAAGCAAACCCCAGTGGAAAAAGCCGCTTTGGAGTTCAAAACGCAATCGATCCTCCGAGAGTACAAAGACATGGTGGCCGAAGGCCTACTAAAACGTCCATTCGAATGTCCAATCTGCCAGTACAAAACCGATCGGTTCTCGGTGATTCAGAACCATGTAAACAACCATTTAACGCAGCAAAAGGAGTACAGGTGTAACGTTTGCAACTATGTGGCGTTCTCGAAAGGCAATCTTACGATGCATCGAGCTCGCTGCGTGTATAAGTACAAGAGGTCGTGCCCCCATTGCTCGTTCGTGACCGTCCGAAACAAAAATTTCAGACGACACATGCTGAGACACACGGCTAAGTTCGCTTGTATCAGCTGCAAGTTTTACAGTGATGATGATAAAGAGATCGAAGAACACAAGAAGGCGTGCAGAAAGGGGGACGGAAGCGGGATGGACGATAAGTGTGACCTGTGTGAGTTTAGAAACGATGATGAGGTCGTCTTAGCCGAACACACCGAAGAGAAACACCCAGAGTACGAGCTTAAGTGTGACGACTGCGATTTCGTGACCTCGAGGAAGCGGTGGCTGTTCAAACACCGGCAGCAGAGTCATCGGACAGTGAATCGGACTTGGAAGTGTAGTCTGTGCGACTTTACCACCGGCGTGAAGGGGGGGATGGGAATACACATGAAAACGCACGTCAAGAAGTGAATTTTCATTCTTGACGATTATTTTTCACCATTCAGGGTTTTTCTAGTGACGTTGTGGCCATTTTTAATGTCGTAATTGATCAATTTTTGGAATCTAAATCTTCGTGTTTTAGTAGGTGGCGTTGGAAAAAACGTGAGGATGTAAAATTTCCTAGGAGGGATGAAAATCAAACGTCAAAAAGATCTGATAGAAGTTTTTCTGAAATTGCCACGTTTTTTTAAACTAATGTAGCGTGAAGGGTAATTACGTGTCATTTGTCGAATTTTTGAGATCTAGTAACATTTGGAAATATAGGGTAATTTGATGTTAATGTTTTACGTCAGTGACATTTGTCCTCACTTCCGGTGTTGTATTTCAAAGTTGGTCCTGTGCTATTCTAGTGATTAAATTACAGTAGTAATAACTGAGATTTACGTATATAAATACTGTATCGTGTATTTAATAAATGTAAACTAATAAAGAGGATTTTTGCTTCTCGACCTTTCATGACTCCTAGAGTCCGGAGAAATAGGTCTCCCGTTTCCGTCTGTTTGTCTGTCTGCCGTCTGTCCGGATTTGCTTTAATTTTTATAAAACGAGATCCTCCTATATTTGTGGTGTATGAATCCGTGTTGAGTTTTCACTATCCCCTTCCAGAAAATTGATGACGTCTGCTCAAAACTTTGTCGAATAAATCTTCTCTGAAATGTGCAAAATATTACGACTTTACGACTTATAGATTTTAGAATTACTTATACAGGGTGACTCAAAAAATTAATAAAAATATACGTGCAGCACGCTTCTTTACATTTACTTTTTATAGGGGTTAGTATAAAAAAATAAAATTCGCAAAATCAAATCTTAATTTTTCAAATTTTTGATTTCCAAATTTTATATATTTTTTTTTTATTCGAAAAGTTGAAAATTCGAAAAATTGCAAATCGAAGAACCAAAGAAACGAAAAATGGAAATTGAAAAAAAGTTAACGAATCGAAAAATTATAGAATCGTCAAAACTGAAAATTCGAAAAACACTGAAAGATTAAAAAATTGCAAAAGGAATAAAAATTAAAGAATTGAAGAATTTCAAAATCTAAAAATTGAAGAAACAAAAACAATGAAAACTAGAAAACTTGAAAAATTCAACAGTGAAAAACAGAAAAATTGGAAGATCAGAGAACATTGAAAAATCGAATCGTTGTAAAAATAAAGAAAATAAATAACTGAAACCAAAAATTCTAAATAGAAAAGTTGAAGAAATAAAAAATTGAAAAATTCAGTATTGAAAAAAACAAAAATTAGAAAATCAGAACACATTGAAAAATCGAAAAGTTGTAAAAATAAAGAATATAAATAACTGAAGAAATAAAAAAATTGGAAAATTAAAAATTGAAAACTCGGGAAATTTTAGAGCGAAAAATTGCAAAATCTAAAAATTGAAAAAACCAAAACCATGAAAACTAGAAAAATCGAAAAATTGAACAAATAAAGAACATGAAAAACTGAAACGAAAAATTACAAATCGAAAAATTGAAAAATTCAAAAGTTGGAAATATGAAAAACTGAAAATTTAACCTGGAAAATCGAAAAATTGAAAAATCCAAAAATTGAAAAACAAAAAAATTCGAAAATCAGAGAACATTGAAAAATCGAAAAGTTGAAGAAATAAAAAAATGGAAAATTAAAAATTGAAAACTCGGGAAATTTTAGAGCGAAAAATTGCAAAATCGAAAAATTGAACAAATAATGAAAATAAAAAACTGAAACGAAAAATTACAAATCGAAAAATTGAAAAATTCAAAAGTTGGAAATATGAAAAACTGAAAATTTAACCTCGAAAATCGAAAAATTGAAAAATCCAAAAAGTTGCAAAACAAAAAAATTCGAAAATCAGAGAACATTGGAAAATCTAAAAGTTGTAAAAGCAAAGAATATAAATAACTGAAACTAAAAATTGCAAATCGAAAAGTTGAAGAAATAAAAAAATGGAAAATTAAAAATTGAAAACCCGGGATTTTTCAGAGCGAAAAATTGCAAAATCTAAAAATTGAAAAAACAGAAACCATGAAAACTAGAAAACTAGAAAAATTAAACAAATAATGAATATAAAAAACTGAAACGAAAAATTACAAATCGAAAAATTGAGAAATTCAAAAGTTGGTAATATGAAAAACTGAAAAATTTAAATTGGAAAATCAAAAAATTTATAACCGAAAAATTGAAAATTCCAAAAATTGAAAAATTCAGTATTGAAAAAAACAAAAATTAGAAGATCAGAGAACATTGAAAAATCTAAAAGTTGTAAAAATAAAGAAAATAAATAACTGAAACTAAAAATTGCAAATCGAAAAGTTGAAGAAATAAAAAAATTGGAAAATTAAAAATTGAAAACTCGGGAAATTTTAGAGCGAAAAATTGCAAAATCTACAAATTGAAAAAACAAAAACCATGAAAACTAGAAAAATCGAAAAATTGAAAAAGTAAAGAAAATAAAAAACTGAAACGAAAAATTACAAATCGAAAAATTGAAAAATTCAAAAGTTGAAATTATGAAAAACTGAAAATTTAACCTGGAAAATTGAAAAACAAAAAAATTAGAAAATCAGAGAACATTGAAAAATCTAAAAGTTGTAAAAGCAAAGAAAATAACTGAAACCAAAAATTGCAAATAGAAAAGTTGAAGAAACAAAAACATTGAAAACCAGAAAAATTGCAATTCAAAAACTGAAAAATTCAAAAGTTGGAAATACGAAAAACTGAAAAATTTAAATTGGAAAATCAAAAAATTTAAAACCGAAAAATTGAAAATTCCAAAAATTGAAAAATTCAGCATTGAAAAAAACGAAAATTAGAAAATCAGAGAACATTGAAAAATCGAAAAGTTGAAGAAATAAAAAAATGAAAAATTAAAAATTGACAACTCGGGAAATTTTAGAGCGAAAAATTGCAAAATCTAAAAATTGAAAAAACAAAAACCATGAAAACTAGAAAAATCGAAAAATTGAACAAATAAAGAAAATAAAAAACTGAAAATTTAACCTGGAAAATCGAAAAATTGAAAAATTCAGTATTGAAAAATGCAAAAATTAGAAAATCAGAGAACATTGAAAAATCGAAAAGTTGAAGAAATAAAAAAATGGAAAATTAAAAATTGAAAACTCGGGAAATTTTAGAGAGAAAAATTGCAAAATCTAAAAATTGAAAAAACAAAAACCATGAAAACTAAAAAAATCGAAAAATTGAACAAATAAACAAAATAAAAAACTCAAACGAAAAATTACAAATCGAAAAATTGAAAAATTCAAAAGTTGAAAATAAGGAAAACTGAAAATTTAAACTGAAAAATCGAAAAATTGAAAAATCCAAAAATTGAAAAACAAAAAAATTAGAAAATCAGAGAACATTGAAAAATCTAAAAGTTGTAAAAATAAAGAAAGTAACTGAAACCAAAAATTGCAAATAGAAAAGTTGAAGAAACAAAAACATGTGAAACCAGAAAAATTGCAATTCAAAAACCGAAAAATTCAAAAGTTGGAAATACGAACAACTGAAAAATTTGAATTGGAAAATCAAAAAATTTAAAACCGAAAAATTGAAAATTCCAAAAATTGAAAAATTCAGTATTGAAAAAAACGAAAATTAGAAAATCAGGGAACATTGAAAAATCGGAAAGTTGTAAAAATAAAGAAAATAAATAACTGAAACTAACAATTGCAAATCAAAAAGTTGAAGAAAGAAAAAAATGGAAAATTAAAAATTGAAAACTCGGGAAGTTTTAGAACGAAAAATTGCAAAATCTAAAAATTGAAACAACAAAAACCATGAAAACTAGAAAAATCGAAAAATGAAATAAATAAAGAAAATAAAAAACTGAAACGAAAAATTACAAATCGAAAAATTGAAAAATTCAGAAGTTGGAACAATGGAAAACTGAAAATTTAACCTGAAAAATCGAAGAATTAAAGAAACAAAAAATCGAAACATTGAAAAACCAAAAATCAGGAAACTTAAAAATCGAAAAAAATTAATAATTTGAAAAATTGGAAAACCCAAAAACTGTAAAAATAAAGAAAATAAAAACCGAAACCAAAAATTGCAAATCGGGAAGGTTGAGGAAATGAAAAATTAAAGAATTGGAAAAGTGGAAAATTAAAGATTTCAGTATTTCTCGATTTTTCAGTTTTCCAATCTCTTAATTTCCAATTTTTAGACTTTTCAAAGTTTTCACGTTATACTGTTTTTTTCAGTTTTTCAATTTTTTTTTGATCGGAAAAATCAAAAAGCCACACTTACCTTCAACCATTTCTTTGATGCCACAATTTTTGGTTTCGTTTTCTTTAATTTTTCAATTTTTCCATTTTTCAATGTTGCAGGTTCAAAATTTTTCGTTTTTTCAACTTTACTTTTTTCAATTTCTCGTCTTCCAAATTTTTGATTTTTCGTTTCTCCAATTTTTTTTAGATTTGCAACTTTTCAATATTACAATCTTTCGTTTTCCGATTTTTTAGTTTTTCAGTTTTACCTTTCCCCAATTTTTCAAGTTCTAAATGTTTATTTTTCAGTTTCCTGATTTTTTAATGTTCATTTTCTCAATTTTATATCACAATTTTTCGTTGTTTATTTTTTAAATGTTTCCTTTGATTCAATTATTATTTGTTTATTCAGTTCTTCAAATTTTCAGTCTTTAATTTTTCAGTTCTGCGATTTTTCATTTTTCAATTTTGGAATTTTTGAATTTCTCAATTTTTCGTTCTTCAATTTTTCAAATTCTTTATTTCCAATTTTAAGAGTTTTCTAAGTTTTCATTTTATTCTTTTTCGTTTTTTCATTTTTCTGTTTTTTTGATTTGAAAATTTGAAAAATCGAAAAACTAAAAAAACGATAAATTGCAAATCGAAGAACTGTAGAAACGAGATTAAGCGGGATTAATTGGGCGAAGAAAGTTCTGTCTAAATAACGTTCAACCAATTTTTACAATTATTAAATTACATACTTACTTTTGGCTCCATTTTTTACACTACGTAACTTACCATTCAATCTAGCCTTTACCACACACCAACATCGTAGCACTGTAGTATTTCCACAATGTAAATCAGAATCACAAATTCTAACCGTAATATTTTTCCCCAGCCATATAATGCTCAAAACCTAACCTAAAATCCCAAAAACATGGGTTCGCCAATAATAATAATCGATGACGATTTTACAATCGACGTTGAAGATGAAGACGAAGACGACTTGGAAATCGTTTACGAAAAACATATTAATCTGGAAACTGAACCAGAATGGCATTTCGAAGACGATACAAACTACCAGTAAGTAGTTTTTTATTCTTGTTTATTTTTGTTCTACAACATTATTTAATTGTAGCCTCAGTTGCGACATTCACATTAAAGAGGAGATAGATTTTGAAGATAATTACATAGGAGAGGGCGTGTTTATGGATTTGGACAAACTAAAGACTGAACTTGGGTTAGATTTTGAGGAGAATTTAGTCAACATAGAAGCAGAGGAACAAAAAACGAAAGACGATAGCGTAGAGGAAGTAAAAATGGAAGCTATTAATATAGAGGAAGAGAAAATGAAACTTTGCAGTATAGATAGTATAGAAGAAGAAAAAACAAAAGATAATAGTATAGAGCAAGAAACGACTGTTATAGAGGAAAAGAAAACGAAATTTCGCAGTATAGATAGTATAGAAGAAGAAAACACAAAAGACAATAGTATAAAGCAAGAAACGATTATTCACACAGTAAATAGTATAGAACAAGTAAAAACAGAACACGATAGTACAGAGAAAGAAGCACCAAAGGAAGATGTGAAAGTGAAAGTCGAAACAAAATACACCATAGAAGAGAAAGAAAATAAATTTAACATAAAAAAAGAAGACACTGAAATAAAAACAGAGGATAAACAAGAAAAACCAAAAAAATATACCGTAAAGAGCAATATTGTGAAAGATGAGAAACCAACTACAGTAAAAAAAGAAAAATCAACACATAAAAAACCCCCAAAGCCTTTTCGCCCTAAACACAGTACGCATGCAGCTAAACCACAGAACAACCACTCGACCCAAAAACAACAACAAAAACCCCATCGCAATAAAAACCGTAGAGAACCTCTAGACAGGAGGAAACCCCACAAATATAAGAACAAATCACGAAACGACCCCCCGAAAACCTCGATGTGGAATCGACGTCGTCGTCTGGGTTCTAAATCTTTCTACGAAATGGAAAGCGAAACAAGACCACAAGGGTTTTGGAACGGTCCCTCCATGGACAACCAAAACGCTTGCTCTGATTGGCAGACGTACTCCGCCATTTTGGGCGCTTTAAATCAGGCGCTTGAGCAACAGATGGCGCAGAATGCGCAAGTCGAGCGGTCATTGGTTCCCTACGTTCCACGGAGTCGGAGAAGGAGAAAGAAGCAGAAGTGGATGGAAAGGTGGCAAAATAGGCCCAATGTGTGGGCCAGTGGTTGCGGGAATGGGGGGAATTCGTCGTTTTTGGGGCCCCAGAGTCAGTTCCAGGGGTACAGTTATACAAATATTTTGCAAGCTGTTAGTCAGTTGAGTGGTGGGGGGGTCGTGCAAAGTAATCAGGTTACTTGTATCAATAACGTTACGTTTCAGTCGTTCATGGATAGGATTTAACTTGATACTTTTTTTTTTTTATTTATGGTAACTCATTTTAAGTTTAGCTTGTCACTTGACATCACTTTATACCAATATTTGTATATATAGGTTTGTTTTTTTAGTTTGATCAGTCTCAGTCTAGTTAGTTTTGGATTTTTATTTCTTTGAAAGATGTGAAACTGTTCCCAAATAAAGTCAGACGTTAAATTTTGCATATTACTTGTTTTTTTTTCTTCCCAAGCGTAAGCCGACTCTCTACTTTTGCATTTTCTCAACCTATCATGACCCCTAGAGGACGAAGAAATAGGTCTCCCGTTTCCGTCTGTCTGTCCGTCACTAATGTGATGACGTCACTTCGAAATTGTAGGGGAAAGGTGCCTAAAATGATCCCCCTAAGGGAGAAATTCTTTAAAAAATACAAATTATTATTATTCATGTAAAACTGTAGCATTATTTGTAAGAACATTGATTTATCTAGGTGACAGTATAAGCCAATTGGTGATTCGATAATTATAAAAAAAGTTATTAACGTTTTTCCAGGACCTTACAAAAGGATCATTTTAGGCATCCCCATAGGTAAAATGATCCCTCGGCATTGACCATAAGGGGACAGCATCAACAAGAAAAATCAAATCATGACTTAACTGATAAATATTTTATTTCAAAAATTTACAAAAAAATAAATTCTTAAAAAAAATAAACAAAAAAAGTTTGAAAAGCACCGAAAATACGGGGTGTATAATTTCTGGAAGAGTTTGAAACAATACTTTAGTCATCAGTACGTGCTAAGATAAGACTAATTTTGCCAAATGGGATACCCTCCAAGAAAAGAGAGGGCGGGTGGGCGGGCCTACTACCTGCTAAGATAAAACTGAATTTGGCAAATGATATACCCTCTAAGAAAAGAGAGGGTGGGTGGGTGGGGCTAGTAACTGCCAGGATAAGACTGAATTTGGCAAATGATATACCCTCTAAGCAAAGAGAGGGTGGGTGGGTGGGACTAGTAACTGCTAAGATAAAACTGAATTTGGCAAATGATATACCCTCTAAGAAAAGAGAGGGTGGGTGGATAGGGCTAATACTTGCTAATATAAAACTGATTTTGGCAAATGAGATACCCTTTAAGAAAAGTGACGGCGGGTGACTGGGATTAGTACCTCTTAAGACTGAGAATTTCCCAAAAATAGATCACGAAAATCCCTAAAATTCTTTTAAATTATTTAAATTTCCCCGTCTTACTAGCTCCACCCACCCTCCCTCTCCTCTCTTAGAGGGTATTTCATTTGCGAAAATCAGTTTTCTTTTAGCAGGTAGTAGGTGGGTGGGGCTAGTAACTGCTAACATAAAACTGGTATTGGCAAATGGTATTCCCTCGAAGAAACTAAAGGGTGGGTGGGCGGGGTTAAAGGATATGTCATCTGTAAAAATCAGTCTTATCTTAGCAGGTAGTAGCCCCGCCCACCCACCCTCTCTTTTCTTGGAGGATGTCATTTGCGAAAATCAGTCTTATCTTATTAGGTACTAGCCCTCTAACAAGATAAAGGGCGGATGGGCCGAGCTAGTGCTTGGCAAGATAAGGCTGATATTGGCAAATAACATACATTCTAAGAAAATAACGGGCGGGTGGGTGGGGTTAGTACTTGCTAAGATAAAACTGATATTGGAAAATGGTATTCCCTCAAAGAAAATAAAGAGTAGGTGGGCGGGGTTAGAGGATATGTTATCTGCAAAAATCAGTCTTATCTTAGCAGGTACTAGCCCCGCCCACCCACCCTCTCTTTTCTTAGAGGGTATATGATTTGCAAAAATCAGTCTTATCTTAGCAGGTACTAGCCCCGCCCAATGATCCGGGATCATTTTGCCTCAAGAAAAAGGGATCATTTCGCCTTAGGTAGCATATCCGCATTCAAAAATTGGTCTAAAGAGTTTAGACAGTACTTCCCTCGATGTCGGAAACTGGACGACTGCATGCCTATTGTGTTTTTTTTCTCATTACATTTTTGTAGTGGGAATTTAAAAAAAAATTGCGATGACGTCATCAACATTTTTGCAAGTACACGTATATCAGTTGGGATAGATGTAGTGTAATACTAAGAATAAAATTATTATATTCTCAAATTTTCGGGAAAATGAATTGGGTCGTTTTGAATATTGATTTGTAATAATCAATAAAATAACGAAACAATTTACTCACGTATACGTATCAGAGGCAACTGAAAATCGTGTATGTATAAACATTCTTAATTTAAGATGACAGGCGTAACAGCATACGTGAGAGTCAAACAGAGAAACTGTAAACAAAACGACCACCGGTTTTATTGCTTCGACTTCCGCTTATTATATAAAACATTGGGTTTTATTTTAATTTTTGACGGTGAAATTCACAATTGGCTGATTATAAACATGTCTATTTCACATTCGCGGAACCAAGTGAGCGCATAAAACGAATGCAGGTCTGTAATGTTAAAGTCGATGTAAATAAGCGTGCTACCCTTATGTTTCAACCGAGTTTTTCCTTTAACAAATTTTGTGTCTACCAAATTGGGTTGGTTGGGGTGTAATACTAATAATAAGTGTTGCCTTTAATTTAATCAATAAAATAAATTGACTTCATTAATTTTTTTGAACCACCTCTTAAGAAAATCTAAAAAATATGAATGGAATGATAAATCACAAGTACAAACTCATCATATTTTTTGCATTTTAGATAGGATTTATTCAGCAAAATTTAAGGGTGACGTCATCAATTTTTTTAGGAGGGATGAACAAATACATTTTGAACAAAAGTTTACCATGCTTATAATAACTTTAAAATATTCCCAAGATTTCAAAGCATTCGGTTTTGTAATTCCTGATTAAATCGATAGAGTAAATTCACGCCTTCATTAATTTTTTTGAGTCACCCTGCATATGCAAATCCAAAAATATGAATGGAATGATAAATCACAAGTACAGACTCATCATATTTTGTACATTTTAGATACGATTTATTCGGCAAACTTTTGAGCTGACGTCATCAGTTTTTTGTAGAAGATAACCAAATATATTTTGACTAAAAATTTATTATGCTCTTTATAACCTTAAAACATCTGCAAGATTTCAAAGCATTCGGTTTTGTAGTTCCTGATTAAATCAATAAAATAAATTTACGCATTCATTAATTTTTTTGAGTCACCCTGTATATGCAAATCGAAAAAATTTGAATGGAATGATAAATCACAAGAAGAGACTCACCATATTTTGTACATTTTAGATAGGATTTATTCAGCAAAATTTTGTGGTGACGTCATAAATTTTTTAAGGGGGACGACCAAATACGTTTTGATCAAAAATTTACCATGCTTATGATAATTTTAAAATATCTTCAAGATTTCGAAGCATTCGGTTTTGTAGTTCCTGAGTAAATCAGTAAAATAAATTTACGCTTTCATTTATTTTCTTGAATCACCCTGTATATGCAAATCCAAAAAATATGAATGGAGTGATAGATCACAAGTACAGACTGATCATATTTTGTACATTTTAGATATGATTTATTTAGCAAACTTTCGAGCTGACGTCATCAAGTTTTTGGAGGGGATAAGCAAATATATTTTGACTAAACATTTATTATGCTCTTTATGACCTTAAAACATCTGCAAGATTTGAGAGCATTCGGTTTTGTAGTTCCTGATTAAATCAATAAAATATATTTACGCATTCATTAATTTTTTTGAATCACCCTGTATATGCAAATCCAAAAAATATGAATGGAGTGATAGATCACAAGTACAGACTCATCATATTTTGTATATTTTAGATATGATTTATTCCACAAACTTTTGAGCTGACGTCATCAAGTTTTTGGAGGGGATAAGCAAATATTTTTTGACTAAAGATTTATGATGCTCTTTATAGCCTTAACACATCTGCAACATTTCAAAGCATTCTGGTTAGCAGATTAAAAATTAAATTTCAAAATGTTGTTTTATAATTTTGATTTTTTTTCCAAAAATCTGGACGTTTCGGGTGAAAAGTCGATTCAGAGTTGTAAACTACACGTGTAGGACTATGTTATTTTATACAATTGAAAACCCATTTACTATGTACAATTTTGAAGTGACGTCATCGGATTAGTGGTGGGGATGATTAGACAAATTTTGGTTAGCGTTTTACCATCTACATGATATTCTTAATATAAATACAAAATTTCACAACAATCGGTCGAGTACTTTCGGAGATTATCTGTCTAATAAAAATCCGGGGGCAGACGGACAGACGGACAGACGGACGGACAGACGGACGGACAGACGGACGGACAGACGGACGGACAGACGGACAGACAGACGGAAATGGGAGACCTATTTCTTCGTCTTCTAGAGGTCATGAAAGATCGAGAAAACGTAAAAGTAGAGAGTCGGCCGACGGACTTAATGTGACTCGATCTTGAAATGTGTGGCAATTAGTGACTTTTATGAAATAGAAATATATCTCTGTCCTTGTTATGCTCCGTCTTTTCGACAGCAGGTATTTTTTGCTTCCAGTATGGCGATCCTGTTACTGTCATTTGGCCGTCAATTGCCTTGGTGGTAACACGTCTTCCACGACTGTTTGCTGGTTACCGGTGACACTTTTTCGTTGAATAGGGCTGGAGTTACTTTGTGACTGGAATAATGTTCTTTCCGGTCCGTTAACTCAATAATTCTAGTACAGTCTGTCGTAACCTCAAATCGTAAACACATCAAACTTTCGTTGACAGATAGCGAAAATTACTAGCCTCGCGCTATCTTTGTTTAACACATAGGTTAGGTTCCTCTCTGTCGAATTCCGACCACAGGCAGTTTGCCGTACTTTCTAAAAGTAATAGTAGATCTAGTGACTTTAGACGGACTCGATTACAATACTTCCTTTGCTTACGCTCGGGAAGTAAAAAGGAACATTGTATGTTTTTCAAGTTTTTTGAGTCATCATAGAATCGCTTGAAAATTCTCACAGTGACAAAGCATCACTTTTTACAGGCCGCAGAGTCATTAAATGTTTGTTAGTGGTACAATTTATTTAAATAATAATGTATTTATTAGAGTAAAAATATACGACAAATTAATGCAAAATATCTACTAGGGGAAAAGTGCCTAAAATGATCCCCTCAGGTCAAATGATCCCCATCAATTGTAAGAAAATTTGTGGCTCCATCTACCAAACATAACTGTCATTTGATTAAGCGCTCTGTAATTAGTACCTTCTGAAAGTTTGATGGCGTTCTGTGTATTCTGCACAGTTTTGTGCCAAAATATGTAAAATAAGCACCTCTGATCTAAGGTAAGATATATTTTAAAAGTCCATTACTTCCATTTGAAAGGTCTTATAGCGGTGGTAGTTGTTTTGACAGAATTAGATACATTTCAGTCGTAGGTTAGTTATGATCTTTTTACCGCATGTAAAAATTGAAGGTTAGTTTACAATTTTTGAATGCGGATATGCTACCTAAGGCGAAATGATCCCTTTTTCTTGAGGCAAAATGATCTCGGATCATTGGGCGGGGCTAGTACCTGCTAAGATAAGACTGATTTTTGCAGATAACATATCCTCTAACTCCGCCCACCTACTCTTTATTTTCTTTGAGGGAATACCATTTGCCAATATAAGTTTTATCTTAGCAAGTAATAATCCCACCCACCCGCCCGTTATTTTCTTAGGATGTATGTTATTTGCCAATATCAGCCTTATCTTGCCAAGCACTAGCTCGGCCCATCCGCCCTTTATCTTGTTAGAGGGCTAGTACCTAATAAGATAAGACTGATTTTCGCAAATGACATATCCTCCAAGAAAAGAGAGGGTGGGTGGGCGGGGCTACTACCTGCTAAGATAAGACTGATTTTTGCAGATGACATATCCTCTAACCCCGCCCACCCACCCTTTAGTTTCTTCGAGGGAATACCATTTGCCAATACCAGTTTTATCTTAGCAGTTACTAGCCCCACCCACCTACTACCTGCTAAAATAAAACTGATTTTCGCAAATGAAATACCCTCTAAGGGAGGAGAGGGAGGGTGGGTGGAGCTAGTACCTCTTAAGACGGGGAAATTTAAATAATTTAAAAGAATTTTAGGGATTTTCGTGTTCTATTTTTGGGAAATTCTCAGTCTTAAGAGGTACTAATCCCAGTCACCCGCCGTCACTTTTCTTAAAGGGTATCTCATTTGCCAAAATCAGTTTTATATTAGCAAGTATTAGCCCCACCCACCCACCCTCTCTTTTCTTAGAGGGTATATCATTTGCCAAATTCAGTTTTATCTTAGCAGTTAGTAGACCCGCCCACCCGCCCTCTCTTTTCTTAAAGGCTATATCATTTGCCAAATTCAGTCTTATCTTAGCACTTACTAACCCCACCCACCGACCCTCTTTTTTCTTAGAGTGTATGTCATTTGCCAAATTCAGTTTTATCTTAGCAGTTACTAGCTCCACCCACCCACCCTCTCTTTGCTTAGAGGGTATATCATTTGTCAAATTCAGTCTTATCCTAGCAGTTACTAGCCCCACCCACCCACGCTCTCTTTTCTTAGAGGGTATATCAATTGCCAAATTTAGTTTTATCTTAGCGGGTAGTAGGCCCGCCCACCCGCCCTCTCAAAAAAATTAGTCTTATCTTAGCACGTACTGATGACTAAAGTATTGTCTCAAACTCTTCCAGAAATTATACACCCCGTATTTTCGGTGCTTTTCAAACTTTTTTTGTTTATTTTTTTTAAGAATTTATTTTTTTGTTAATTTTTGAAATAAAATATTTATCAGTTAAGTCATGATTTGATTTTTCTTGTTGATGCTGTCCCCTTATGGTCAAAATTCAAAGGGATCATTATGCCCATGCCGAGGGATCATTTTACCTATGGGGATGCCTAAAATGATCCTTTTGTAAGGTCCTGGAAAAACGTTAGTAACTTTTTTTATAATTATCGAATCACCAATTGGCTTATACTGTCACCTAGATAAATCAATGTTCTTACAAATAATGCTACAGTTTTACATGAATAATAATAATTTGTATTTTTTAAAGAATTTCTCCCTTAGGGGGATCATTTTAGACACCTTTCCCCTATTTGTCTGACTCGTAATTTTTGTAATCCTTACAACAAAGATTCCAATGGTAGGTGCTGTCTGAGCTAGTATGATACTTTGGTCACGTGTGTCAAAAGATATATGAATCCAACTATAGATGGAGATGAACTTTATCAACGCAGCCACGCAATGTAACGAACGTTCAAATAAAAACGACGTCAAGTTGGCTTTGGAAATGTGAACGAAGCCGTAAATTGACATTTACAAAGCCAACTTGACGTTTTATTTGAGCGCTCGTTATTATTTTAATATGGGGAAGATGTCACTGGGTCCGACGATCCAGACTTAAATACAGTTGGCTGTAAAAAAACGATCAAAGACGGCTGCAGGTTTTTGAAAGCATGTCTATGATCATTTAATTTTCGCTTCAAACAAACTTTCAAGAAGCTACTTGATAGTGCGTTACTATTATTAGTAATTTATTACTATTACAAACAGTCAATTTTAAAGTGTGTCGAATGTAATACGTGTGTAGTAGTTGTGATCAGTCCCAAAAGTGTGGTTATGTTTTGATAAACTTTTAAAAAATGAACAACAACAGGGTCATCGTGGACGAAACTTTCACAATCGATGTCGTTGAAGATACAGATTTCAAATTCGTTTTGAAAACGTAAACCCGTTGAATTGTTTTGTAGGCACAATCATCTTTTTTTCGTTTATTTATTTTAGTATGGAGAACCGTTCGCAGTGTACACAAAATGCAGTTGGTAATGTCGGTGTAAAAATAGAGCTACAAGAAAAAAATAAAAATACAAAAATAGTTCCTGCCAATAATACGGACCGCATGTATTTAGAGTCAAATAGTTTGTGAACAGATAATAAGAACTGTTTTTCAGAAAAGACGAAGTTAAAGGAGGAGCAATTGGGGACACCATTGAATTGTAAGTACGGAAAAAGTTCATTTTTCAAACGTTTTAAGGTTATCCTTAATCAATTTTTTTTCGTTTATGTCCCTCTAAAACAATAATGACATAATCAGTTTACAATTTTGTCGAATCAATATTTTTTACCGGTTTCTGTTAGGTCTCCCATTTCCGTCTGTCTGTCCGTCTGTCTGCCGTCCCGGATTTTTATTAGACAGATAATCTCCGAAAGTACTAGGCCGATTGTTGTCAAATTTTATTTTTTTATTTTCAGCGAGATCGACACTTGAAAATTATTAAAAATATTATTATTATTATTATTATTATCTCGTGGATTTGGATTTTAAATCAATCATGGTAATCAAGTTGATTCCGAATTTTCCGTATTTACCAATATTCTAAGATTATCTCGAATATGTTTGATTTGCTATAAAATTGAAAGTATGACAACAAATGTTCAACGAAGTTTCAGTTTACTTTGGATACTACATTTAATATAAAAATTGCAGGGCTAAATGTGAAGATAACCATTTTATTACTGAGGAGACTATTAAAGTCGAGGAACCTCAAGTATGGTTTACCAAAAATGTTGACTTGTCACAAAAGAGAGAATTTAAGGACGAACCATTAGATGCAACAAATTGTGATAAACAAAACGTACAAAAGGACAACCCATCAAAAAATATGTAAGTTCTGTATAAATGTTTTATTTGTTTTATTTGTATTTTTTTAGAAAAAGCAGTGACTGTGGTAGTGTCACTGGGCCTAAAGTACAAACAAAAATAGAAATGACGAGTACAAGCCATGAAAAGACTGAAAGAGGACAATCGGTTATAGTTGAAAATACAGGAAATCTTGAGCAACAAGTGCCAACAAGTCCGTCTTTTTGGTGTACTGATTCAAAGTCTGTGGACAAAAAAGAAGAAATAGAAATTTATGATTGTGAAGACTGGACGGAAAAAACTAGTGGATATTCTTATGACGTTGTTAAAAATGTTTACGTTATAAAAGACGAAGATGAAGATACGAACGAAGAATGTCCATATAACGATAATCGGAACAAACAATTTAACACACTGGGAACAGTTGATTTGATTGAAGACCCCATAGATGTAGAAGATGAAGAAATTCCTCAGAACCAAGGTGCCAAATTAGAAATAATTGATTTAACGGAAGACCCCATAGAAGCAGAAGATAAGCAAACTCCCGATTTAACCGCACCTACCTCAAACGCTGTAGATACAGAGAACGTAAGTTCATCTGCAGAAACATCACCATCCAAAGAAGAAGATAACGCACCAAATTCCAAAGTCCCTCAAAACCAGAACGCGAAATTGTCGCTTTCTTCACCTCCCGTTGAAACTTCCTCAACTGCATCTTCGTCGTCAGAATTTCAAGATCCAGTCGCTATAGTTAACCCGAACAAGAAACGAGAAGTACGCAATGCTTCATCAAAAGATGAAGAAACTAAGCAATTGAGAAGAACTTCTTCATCGTCGGAGTTTCAAGATCCACCAGTTACGAAACCTAGCGTTCCGCGCAAGCCGCCTTCGCCAAAGATAGCTGAAGAAAAGAAAAAATCACTGGAAAGACGTTCTTCCTCTTCAGAGTTCCAAAATCCGAAAATCACTTCAAACCAGAAGAAAAAGCAAACTTCTGCTTCCACAAAGTCAACAACTTGTCGTCCATCTGTTTCTTCGCTGGCGACTAAAAAGAAAGCTCCTGTGGTGACCAAGGATATTCTTTCTAAAATAGATGCGTTGATCATTTCTGTGAAGAACGAGCCGGCTTTGGATACTGACAAAAGTGAAGAAAGTCGTGAAGTTGGTGCTTCGACTAACCCTTCAGACTCTAGGCAGAGTTCTGCTTCATTTCCTCGGGAAAATTTGAAAACTTCTTGTGTATCTCTTCAGATTGAAGCACAGCAGTCAAGCAGTGCCAAAAAAGAAGAAATCCAGAAGATACATAGTAAAGCTATCCCTAAGAGACGTAATTCCGCAAGTACGGTTCAAAATAATCGTGTGAATCTCTGCTTAGTTTCAAATGCGGATTCTAGGCAAGATCGTTCGAATGTCCGTGTAGATAAGACTCGTAAGAATGAAGCACCCGTAAATAAATCTAGGAATGAAGAAATTCAGAAGATGCATACTTCATTTAACAAAATTAATACTGCAGACACAGTTCAGATTAATTCTCTGAATCTTCAGTCAGTTCCAAATAGGGAAAATCCAAGCATCTGTCCAACTTCTAGGCAAGATTTTCGTTTAGATCTTTGCCAAAATACGTCAACAAGTTTAAACAGTTTCTCTAGATCTAGAAACAACAGTGAATCTCGTCATATCGAAATACCGTCTTCAAGTAGTGCTAGAGAGGAAGATATTCAGAAGATAGAAGGTTTACCTGACATACATATTTCTGTTTTAACATCGGGCCAAAATTACGGTTACAGCAATTTAAATAGTTCTGCACCGTTTTCAAACAAATCTAGATCTAAAGAAAACCAGAAGATAGATCTCAAAAGTAGCACTAGCAAATGTAATTCGTCCAACGTGGCTCCTAATAATCCATTGAACCCTCCTCATTCAAGCTTAGATATTTATCACTCAAAATCTACTTCTATTGAAGCACTCCCTTCAAGCAGCATCAGAAGGAATGGTGTTCAGAAGGTACATACAAATTCGCTAGAGCATAGCTCTGTTTCAAATGCGCAGAGTCAAAATAGTGCTTCATCTTCTAAACAAGATTCTACTGATCGTAAAAAAAACGTGAAAAATTTGATTAAGCGAAACCATCAACCAAACAAATGGGCAACAATGGGCGCCACATCTAAGAAGTTGATTTCTGATCAAGAAATTCCGAAAGTACCCAAAATGTCAACCTCTACTTTGGGGGAAAATCGGCGAAAATTAGCTAGGTTATCTCAGAGGCTTGACAATAGAATGAGCTTTCAGTTCACAAAGACACAATCTACAGAGAGTTTGTCTAAAATTGCAAATGTGGATCGAATTCCAGGCCTTCCAGTGAGTGTTCCTCAGACAGAAGTCACTCTTAGAAATGTTTATCAAAACACGAATAAAAGTGTTCATCTAGAATCCGTAACTAGCAATAAAGCAAAAATACAGCAAATACATTGCCTAGAAGGAGAAGAGAAAATATATCCTGAAAAATCTCAGGTTTCTAGTCATTACGTGCAATCCTCTCTCTCTTCTACATATCACATTAACGACGTACCATCTAAGCAATATTGTTCTGAATTTCAAAAACACAATAGAGATCTAGAAGTAGCTCAAAATGTACCTGGCAGTTCATCTTTTAGAAGAAATTCCAGTTCTACACATTCAGAAGTCAGTCCATCTATGCAGAGTCCACGTCATCTAAATCCATATATCTCTCCACAATCTTCAGATTCTAGACATTCTAATCAACATTGTCAATCTTCAAGCAAGCTAGATCTTTCAAGACTTCGAGTAAGTAGAATCCCAAATTCCTGTTCAAGTGTATCAGAGAATGGATACGTAGAAGGAAATTCTGATTCTGAACGTCAGTTCCAGGCTTCGGTTATGTACGAAATAAACAATTTTTTGTCTAGAACACATAGAGTAGAAAACATAGAAGCACCTCAGTCAAATTTTCAGAATACTCCAGAAGGAGTAAGACACCCAGAAACACACCATTTGTACGACGAAGACGACCTTCTTCGAGATATGCGTATTCAGTTATCACAGATAAACCCATCTAGACAAAACTACCATGGTAGGGATCCAAGACTAAAACAACAAAACACATTTTTTGGGTGTGACGGTAAACTTCGACTTATACAACAGTGCTTATGGCACATGATTACTCGGAACTTGAGTGAACCGAAAGATCAGAGAGATTCTAGACATCTAGAAGCACATCTTGATAGATCTGTCTGTGTAGACGAGAAACTTCGAGCCATGGAGCAACAATTGTGGGAAATAATTATTGTTAGAAACCTAGAAGTACCCCAAGATAACATTTACGATCAGGCCAGATTTCTAGAACGCACTCTAGTTCTATACATGCAATACAGGGAAGTAAAGAATCTCCAGAATACAAACACTTCGGACGTATCTTCATCTAGGAAAGACTGTCACAAAGTTCCTCAGAGAATTGAGACTGTAACGAGCAAACTACAACAACCAAGCACCAGTCGGAAAATAGAAACAGAATCACATAGAATTCAGAATCTAAAAAGACCGACGAACCCTTCCGAAGAGAACTCGTCTCCGGATAAAAAATTGCGGGTTGAGCAACCCCAGGATTTAAGTATGTCGTGGTTAAACGCCGTACATTCAGCAACCCCACAATTAACGACGGAAAGCTTCAACGACACGTTTAAAACAATTCATGAGTTTATGATAGGAGTGATGAATCCTAAAGTTACGAATTCGGCTTCTTTGGCAGTTCGGTTGGGGCAATTTTTTGGGCCCCAGATACTCAAGAAGTTGAAGGAAGACAAAAGGAAGAACAAGAAAAATAGTAAGTGGAGCAGAGAGCAGTAAGAATCATCCTGTATAGTTGTTAATATTTGTACTGCAAATATTTTTAATACTCGCCAGATTTTTTAGGGATTTTTTGTACGACACGTTGGTACTACAAGTTTTTTTTTATTTAACAAAGGAGAGATGTTTTTAAATAAATGATTTGTACTTTGTTGCGTAAATTTTATGGAAATTGTAATGTTGTTCTATTATGTATATTTCGATTAAAATGTTGTAAGTAACGTGACGATCTTAATTTTCGCCCTTCTGGCTAAAAATCCCGAAAACTATTTTGGTGACAGGTGAAGTTGGCACTCCTGTCAGTGATCGATCTGTCAATCGCGAGTTTGAAAGTGCCCCAAGAAGCCCCACAAAACGGCCCCCCGAGTCGGTAAGTACGTGTTTCCTTTACATTTTCACGCAAATGCAAACCCCATTGAAAAGTGGTAATATTTAATTATCACAAAGGGCAAATTACATTCATGTTAAAATATACAGTACTTGAATCAAAATAAAGATCGATATTGATTCGAGCTAGATTACTTTTCAACACAATATTTATTTACACGTATAATACAAGTAGAATTTTTGAATTTCCTGGTAGCGCTTTACCAAACAAAAAAATGTCATTCCAAACAGTTAAATAAATTAAGTTAGTTCGTAAATTAAGCTACATAACTATACTCTTCACTAGAATGCGGTGTCCTTTCAATATATTGTTTATCGATCAGCGACTCGATGCATTTTTTGATCAGCTGAATACTGGGGGCGAAGGAGACTTTCGACTGTGCATATACCTAAAACGAACACTTTAATAAAACCCAATCAAACTAAATAAATACGGACCCACCTCTTGTATTAACGCGTTATGTTTGAGTATTTTCCTTGATTTCATAATTCTAACAATCGCTGCCTGCAGGTACATTTTCCTGTCTTCTTCGACCGAGTTCATCGTTTGTTCAATTTCCTGCGGCGACTCTTTCTGTACGGCTGCGTTTATCCTAAACTTCGTCCGCTTGTTGTTGTACTCCATGTTTAAACGTAAAATAGTCTCCGGTTTGAGCTCCTACAACCCCCAATTAGCTACATCCCTCCAAAATCCACACCCTTACCGTGCTATCTGCTATTAATAATTTACAATCGATGAGACTAGCCGCATACCTATGATACTGTTCCGACGTTAGCTGCAAGCTCTCCTTAATCTCCCTAAACGTGAGAGAGTCCGTATGCTCGAACAACAACAAAGTCGCCATTTGGAAGGTCTGCATCGTCACCAAATACGATTTTTTCAAGTGGCCTAGTTTGAGTTCCGCTTGACACAAATTGTGTAGCCAAGTCAGCTTGCGCCCGTTGAAGCGATTGTGGTAGAAATTTTCGAACTGCAACGCACGCGTTTATTGATGGTCGTAGTAAAAATCTGCTTACCATTTGCACGCTTTTCTCGAGTTGTCTGGGGTAGGTGAAGGGCGTGGTCACGGTTTGGCCCAGAGGCCAGGCCCCGGCTTGTAGTACGTATATGCTAAAATTGATGCCTAGGTCGATGTTGTCTTGCTTCAAGAACGCGTTGAATTTGTTGTTGAGATCTGCGCTGACGGACATGTCTGTAAACATTCGGTGGAGTTTGCTGGTGAATTCGTAGCCGCAGGCTTGCTTCAGGCGGTTTATCATGGCTTCTTCGGCGTCCATGCTCTGGGTTTGCTGGTGGATGAGGCGTTTGGCGAGCATTCGGGAGTAGAATTTTTGGAAAACGTCTTTGTCGTCGATGTACTTGAAGATTGTTATGCTTTCGGCGAGTTTTTCGTCCACCTGGGGAAAATGGATAGGTTTTTGGTCGGTTGTGACTTGTGAGTTATTGGTTTTTGACTCTACTGATGTAAAGAGGGTGTGGAATTTAATTTATATTATACTTATATTTTCCACGTGCTTTAATGACTTACTAAATGTAGACAAAATTAAATTAGCATCACTAATTAGCTATCACTAATTTTTCATTCAATTTAAAAAAGGTTATATTTATTGAGGTGAGGGACACAATTTTAAATCTGAATAATTGTTGTGGCTTGGATGTTGAACGACTTAAGGTAAAAATAATGAAACACTCAAGTCCTCAAAAGAACATTTGAACTTCAAAAAGGGGCTCCCGATAATCTTTCAATTTTTTTAAAAATGACACTAGCGCCTCCCAAAATTCTTTCAAACTTTTTCAAAATGAAAATACCTGGGATTCCCGGGCTTTCAAGTTTTGAATTTTTCAATTTTTCGAGCTGTAATTTTTCTTTTCGGCTTATTATTTTCTTTATTTTTTCAATTATTCGATTTTCCAACGTTTGGATTTTATAATTTTTTGTTTCTTCAATTTTTCGTTTCTTCAAATTTCCGATACGCAATTTTTCATTTTATTTCTTCGATTTTTAAATTTTAAATTTTTTCAATTTTTCGATTCTTTAATTTTTCATTTTTTTTGTTGCTTCAATTTTACGACATGCAACTCTTCGAGTTTTCATTTTTTCAGTTTTTCGATTTTCCAACTTTTAGATCTTTCAATTTTTGTGATTTGCATTTTCACGAGTTTTCTGTATTTTATCAAATTTTAGATTTTCCATTATTCTGATTTTATAGTTTTTTTTTCAATTTTTGGATTTCATTGAATTTAAATATACAATTATAATTTAAAAAAATAAAATACTTTTTCAATTATTGGATTTTAAAACTTTTTCATCTATTAGATTTTTAATTTTTTCGATTTTTAGTTTTTAAATTTTTCATTTTCTTTGTTCTTTCAATTTTTCTAGTTTTCATTTTAATATGTAATACTCCTAATAATAATAGTTTTTAAAATTTTTCACTTTCTCAATTTTACGATTTTAGAATTTTTCGTTTTTCATTTCTTCAATTTTTCGTTTTGGTTTTGCATTTTCTTTATTTGTTCACTTTTTCGGTTTTCCAATATTCTGATCTTATAATGTTTCTTTTTTTCAATGTAAAACTTTTCAATTTTTGGAGTTTTCAATTCTTTGATTTTTGATTTGCAATTTTTCTAGTTTTCATTTTAATATGCAATAATAATTATAATTTTTGCAAGTTTTCACTTTCTCAATATTACGATTTTAGAAATTTTCCATTTTTCAGTTATTGGACTTTAAAATGTTTTCATTTACTCTATTTATCAATTTTTCGATTGTTATTTTTCTGAATTTCAGAATATTTAATTTTTCAATTTTTGGATTTTTCAATAATTCCGATTTGCAATTTTTCGGTTGTCCAACTTTTAGATGTTTTAATTTTCTCGTTCCTTCAATATTTGATTTTTTCGAGTTTTCACTTTAATATGTAATCAAAATTATTATTTAAAAAAATGTGTAGTTTCTCAATTTTTCGATTTTCGATTTTTTTCATTTTTCCATTATTGGACTTTTTTGAATTGTTTCGATTTTTCATTTTCTTTATTTTTTAAGTTTTTCGATTTTCCATTACTGTGATTTTATAGTTGTTCTTTTTTTCAATGTGAAATTTGAAATTTTTTGGTTTTGAATTTAAATATATAATTATAAGTAAAAAAATCACTTTCAATTATTGGATTTTAAAACTTTTTCATTTATTAGAATTTTATTTTTTCAATGTTTCAATCTTGGGTTTCTTGAGCGCAATTTTTGGTTTCGGTTTTTCATTTTCTTTGTTCTTTCAATTTTTCGGTTTTTTCAATGTTCTAATTTTATAATTTTACTTTTTCAATTTGAAAATTTTCAATTTTTGGATTTTTCAATAGATCGTTTTGCAATTTTTCTAGTTTACATTTTAGTATGTAATAATAATTATAGTTTTCACTTTTCCAATGTTGTGATCTTATAATTTTTGCTTTTTTTCAATTTTTCAACTTTTACATTTTTTGATTTTTCAGTTCCTCAATTTTTCAATTCTTCAATTTTTGATTTGCAATTTTTCGAGTTTTCATTTTAATATGTAATAATAATTGTAATTTTTGCAATTTTTCACTTTCTCAATATTGCGATTTTGGAATTTTTCCATTTTTCCATTGTTCATTTTCAATTCTTTGGTTTTGAATTTAAATGTATAATTATAATTTAAACAAAATTTCACTTTTTCAATTTGAAAACTTTTTCATTTATTAGATTTTTCATTTTTTCGATTTTTAGTTTTCCAATGTTTCAATCTTGAGTTTCTTCAATGCAATTTTTGGTTTCGACTTTTCATTTTCTTTGTTTTTCAGTGTTCTGATTTTATAATTTTTCTTTTTTAAATTTGAAAATTTTCAATTTTTGATTTGCAATTTTTCAGTTTCCAGTTTTTCGGTTTCTCAACTTTTAGTTTTTTAATTTTTTGTTCCTTCAATTTTTGATTTGCAATTTTTCGAGTTTTCACTTTAATATGCGATAAAAATTGTAATTTTTAAAATTTTTCACTTTCTCAATTTTATGATTTTAGAATTGTTTCATGTTTCAATTATTGGACTTTTTTCGATTTTGCATTTTCCAGTTCTGTCGGTTTTTCAACTTTTAGAATTTTAAATTTTTAGATTTTTCAATACCTCAATTTTTCATTTCTTCAATTCTTCGTTTCTTTATCTTTTCAATTTTTCGGTTTTCCAATGTTCTGATCTTACAATTATCCTTTTTTTCGATATAAAATTTTTGAATTTGTCAATATTTTGATTTTCAATTTTTTGGTTTTGTGTCTCGATTTTTCAACTTTTGGATTTTTTAGTTTCTCAATTTCTCAATCTATTTTTTGATTCGTATTTTTTCTAATACTCTTAATAATCATTATTTTTAAAATTTTTCACTTTCTCAATTTTACGATTTTAGAATTTTTTCATTTTTCAATAATTGGATTTCAAAACTTTTTCATTTTTTAGATTTTCCGTTTCGGTTTATTTTCTTTATCTTTTTAATTTTTCGGTTTTTCAATGCTCTGATCTTATAATTTTCCTTTCTTTCAATGTAAAATTTTTCAATTTTTGGATTTCTCAATATTTTGATTTTCAATTTTTTGGTTTTGTGTTTCGATTTTTCAACTTTTAGATTTTTTAGTTTCTCAATTTCTCAATCCATTTTTTGATTCGTAATTTTTCTAATACTCTTAATAATTATATATATTTAAAATTTTTTTCACTTTCTCAATTTTACGATTTTAGAATTTTTTCATTTTTCAATAACTGGATTTTAAAATTTTTTCATTTTTTCGATTTTCCATTTCGGTTTTTTATTTGCTTTATTTTTTCAATTTTTCGGTTTTTCAATGTTCTGATCTTATAATTTTCCTCTTTTTCAATGTAAAATCTTTCAATTTTTGGATTTCTCAAAATTTTGATTTGGATTTTTTTTTCTATTTTTGGATTTGTCAGTTCCTCAATTTTTCAATTCTTCAATTTTTGATTCGCAATTTTTTTAGTTTTCATTTTAAAATACGATAATAATTATAATTTTTACAATTTTTCACTTTCTCAATATTACGATTTTAGAATTTTTCCATTTTTCAATTATTGGATTTTTAAACTTTTTCATTTATTCGATTTTTACTTTCTAAATTTCAGGGCATTTAATTTTTCAATTTTTTCATATTTTAATTTTTCGGTTTTTCAATGTTCTCATTTTATAATTTTCCTTTTTTCAATTTGAATTTTTGTTTTATTTTTTGGTTTCTCAACTTTTAGATTTTTTAGTTTCTCAATTTCTCAATTCTTCAATGTTTGATTCGCAATTCTTCTGGTTTTCATTTTAATATATAATAATAATTTATATTTAAAATTTTTTTCACTTTCTCTATTTTAAATTTTTTTTCATTTTTCAAGAATTGGATTTTAAAACTTTTTCATTTTTTCGATTTTTCGTTTTTTATTCTTCAATTTTTCGTTTCGGTTCGGTTTTTCATTTTTTCAATTTTTCGTTTTGGTTTATCATTTTCTTTATTTTTTCAAATTTTCGGTTTTTCAATGTTCTGATCTTACAATTTTCCTTTTTTTCAATGTAAAATTTTTCAATTCCTCAATTTTTCAATTTCTCAATTTTACGATTATAGAATTTTTTCATTTTTCAATAATTGGATTTTCAAACTTCTCATTTTTTCGATTTTCCGTTTCGGTTTTTCATTTTCCTTATTTCCAATGTAAAATTTTTCAATTTTTGGATTTCTCACTATTTTGATTTGCAATTTTTTGTTTTATTTTTCGATTTTTCAACTTTTAGATTTTTTGATTTTTCAGTTCCTCAATTTTTCACTTTCTCAATTTTTATTTAGAATTTAGAATTTTTTCATTTTTCCATAATTGGATTTTAAAACTTTCATTTTTTCGATTTTCCGTTTCGGATTTTTGATTTCTTTATTTTTTCAATTTTTCGGTTTTTCAATGTTCTGATGTTATAATTTTCCTTTTTTTTCAAGGGAAAGTTTTTCGATTTTTGGATTGCTCAATATTTTGTTTTTCAGTTTTTTGGTTTTGTGTTTCGATTTTTCAACTTTTAGATTTTTAAGTTTCTTAATTTCTCAATTCTTCAATTTTTCATTAGCAATTTTTCTGGTTTTCGTTTTAATATGTAATAATAATAAATTTTTTTTTAGTTTTCACTTTCTCAATTTTACAATTTTTTCTTTTTTCAATAATTGGATTTTAAAATTTTTTCATTTTTCGATTTTTCCTTTCGGTTTTTATTTTCTATATTTTTTCAATTTTTGGGTTTTTCAATGTTTTGATTTTTTTCGTCAATTTTTGGATTTTTCAACTTTTTTTGGATTAGCAATTTTTAAAATTCTTCACTTTCTCAATTTTACGATTTTAGAATTTTTTCATTTTTCAATTATTGGATTTTTAAATTTTTTCGATTTTTCAATTTTTAATCTTTTAATTTTTCGATTTGCAATTTTTCGTTTCGGTTCTTATTTTCTTTATTTATTCAATTTGCAATTTTTCATTTCAGTTTTTATTTTCTTTTACAATTTTTCGAGTTTTAGATGTCCCGATTTAATCATGTTTTGTTTTTTTAATTTAAATTTTTTCAATCTTACAATTAGCAATTTTTGTGATTTGCATTTTCACGAGTTTTTTCAATTTTTCGATTTTTTCAATCTTTCATTTCTTCGATTTTTCGTTTCGGTTTTTACTTTCTTTATTTTATCAAATTTTGGATTTTCCATTATTGTGATTTTATATATTTTTTTTCAATGTATAATTTTAAAATTTTTTGATTTCTCAAAATTTTGATTTGCAATTTTTTGGTTTTGTGTTTCGATTTTTCAACTTTTAGATTTTTTAGTTTCTCAATTTCTCAATTCTGCAATTTTTGATTCGCAATTTTCCTGGTTTTCATTTTAATATGTAATAATAATTTAGTTTAAAAAAAATTTCACTTTTTCAATTTCACGATTTTAAAACATTTCCATTTTTTCGATTTCTCAATTTTATGTTTATATATACAATATATCTTTATGTTTACAATTTTTGGATTTTCCATTTTTTCGATAAATTCATTTTTTCAATTTTTAGTTTTTCAATGTTTCAATTTTGTTTTTTTTCAGTTCTTCAATTTCTCAATTTTCAGTTTTTCGATTTATCAACTTTTCGGATTGGAAAAATTGAAAAATTGTAAAATTGAGAAACCAAAAATGAGAAATCGAAAAAGAATAAAATGAAAACTTTCAAACATTTAAAAATTGGAAATCCAGAACTAAGAAAATTGAAGAAACGAAAAATTGAAAAATCGAAAGACTAAAAATTGAGAAACACTTATAAAAATCGAAAAAGTGCAAAATAAAAAAAAAGAAATATTATAAAATCAACAGATTGAAAAGAAATTGGAAAATCGGATAGTGGAGAAATCCAAAAATTGCAAAATTGAAAAAAAAATAAAGGAAAAATGAAAAATGTTAATATCGAAAAATTGATGCCAAAAAATTGGTCGACGGTAATTAAATCAGGATTTTTCGAAAAATTAACACTTTTTAATTTTTTCGATTTTTCATTTTTTTTTTTCAATTTTTCGGTTTTTCAATGTTCTTATCCTGTAATTTTTCTTTTTTTAATGTAAAATTATTCAATTTTTGCATACATAATTCGAGTTTTTAATTTTTTGATTTTCCAGTTTCTCAATTTTCAATTCAGTGTCTCAAATGTCAGGATATTTAATTTTTCAATTTTTCCATCTTTCAATTTTTCGGTTTTTCAATGTTCTGATTTTATAATTTTCCTTTTTTGAATTAGAAATTTTCAATTTTTGGATTTTTCGATAGTTCGATTTGAATTTTTCGGTGTTTCAACTTTTAGATCTTTTAATTTTTCGTTCCTTTAATTTTTGATTTGCAATTTTTCTAGTTTTCATTTTAATATGTAATAATAATTATAATTTTTAAAATTTTTCACTTTTTCAATTTCGCGATTTTCCAATTTTTCGTTTTTCATTTCTTCAATTTTTCGTTTTGGTTTTTCATTTCCTTTATTTTTTCAATTTTTCGCTCATAATTATTCTTTTTTTAATGTAAAATTATTCAATTTTTAAATTTTTCAATATTTCGATTTTTTAATTTTTAGATTCTTCAGTTTCTCAATTTTCAATTTTTCACTTTCCCAATATTACCATTTTTCAGTTATTGGATTTTAAAACTTTTTCATTTATTCGATTTTTCATTGTTACAGTTTTTCGACTTTACAATTTTGACGATTCTGTAAATGTTTACAATTTTTGGATTTTCCAATTTTTCGTTTAATTCACTTTTTTTTAGTTTTTCAATGTTTCAATTCTGTTTTCTTGAGCTCTTCAATTTTTTGATTTTCACTTTTTCAAATTGTCAGCTTTTCGATCGAAAAAAATGGAAAAATTGTAAAATTGAAAAATCAAAAATTGGAAATCGAAAAATGAAAACTTTAAAACATTTAAAAATTGGAAATCAAGAACTAAGACAATTGAAGAAACGAAAAATTGAAAAATCGAAAGACTAAAAATTGAGAAATATTTATAAAATCGAAAACGTGCAAAATCAAAATATTGAAAATTAAAGAAATCGGAAAATCGGATAATGGAGAAATCCAAAAATTGCAAAATTGAAAAAAAAGGAAAAATGAAAAATTGAGAAACTGAAAAATCGAAAAATGAAAAATGTTAATATCGAAAAAACACCCGAGATCATTAAAATATGACAGCGTAGCTGTTGAAACGCAACAGTTTTTGTTGAAATTTTCGGTGTTACGGGGATAGTAACCTGCAGCATCTATCATTTAATGATTTTCTTTTTTACATTTCAATTTGGAATTTAGTTCATCGTAATTTTCTATTTATTTATATTTTATTTTGACATGTGTTCTAAGTCATTATTATTTATTAATCATAAATGGACTTACCTCAGAGTCGCTAATTCCCTTACTGGACTTCCTCAGCAGCGCATCACAATACTTAGCCAAAAACTCCGGACTCTTGCACACCGGCTTCCCAAACTTGTGATTAATCACACTACTGCAAGCCCTATCCAACGCACCCATGAAATTCTGGTCCGACTTGAACACCTCCTGAATCAGCAACTTATACTTCTTATAAACCCCCAGCATGTTCTCCACGAACGTAATATGAATATTCTCCGTGTCGATGTTACCTATAGCCTGCGACCAAAAACGACCATAAACCCCCCCAACCAAACCCAAAAATCCAACTTACGGCCAATCCTTGCGTTTTGATGTGGTCCAAGACCGTATCGATCAGGAGAACCATCGCGTTTTGCACGCTCTTGAGCAAATCGTACATATTTGAGAGGTCCTTTTTGCGTTCGCCCTGTACCATGGCCGTGCACTCGCTGTAGAGGAACTCCAAGTGTTCGGCGACCATGTGGGTTTCGCATCTTTGAGATACTTTCGATAGAGAGCTGGCGTGGAGGAAGCGTCTGGCCCGAAGAAGTTCCTCTTCGATTTTGGCTTTGACCCGTTCCATGTACAAACTGACGTTTTTTTCTTGGAGGAGTTTGGCGGCGTCGCGCTTGAAGTGTTCGCCACTTTCTTTCAAGAAGGGCTCTTCGAAGAGTTCTTGGTAGAGTTGCAGTTGGCCTTTCTTTTTGTAGCCTTGAACCTTGAGGGAGAAAGATTAGGCCATATGTATACGAGAAATTTCAAACTGATGTGTTGAGAGTGTTGTTTTCGGGACACCTTTGTAAGCTGTGTTCCGCCTTTGTATAGTTTTGGACTTTTTTCCATTTCTAATAACAATAATAATGAGATTTCGTCCCTGTATATTTATATTTTCCGCCATCGAGAAAGTATTTGTAAAATTATATACAGGGTGTCTCAACGTTGTTTGTGAATTATTCAAAACATAACACCTGTATATTTCTATAAATTTATATTTTTTTATCAAAACTTGAAGAAAGATGAGTCAGGCGTATTTTTTTGAGTAACATTGTTTTAATTTATTTATACAGGGTGAATAAATTTACAAATAGTTTTCTCGTATTTTTCAAATGTATATAGTATAGTACGTTCAATTTTTACGCACAATGTAAATAAAACTCTCGTGTATCATTCCAAACCTCCATCTTTAAAAATGGCCGAACTGTAAATTTTTAAATAAAACCATTTTCTCCTTACAAATGCAAATATTTTGACAACTATTATATAAAAAATCTTGTCTCTGATATCTTTTTTCCGAGTTTCGTTGAAAATTTAAATCTGTATAATACATATATGCCACATTTTGAAAAATACAACTTTGTGGCTTTTCAGTAGTTTACGATAAATATACAGTTTTTTGCCACTCTGTGCTTTTGTATGGGACAGTGTGAGGAACAATATAGAACTTTTTTTTTTAATGGTACACCCTATACACATATATATTTTATTTTTGAATTTACGATATTGCCAAATTATTCCATTTTTAAAATAATAAAAAATCTAAAACTTTAAATTTTTAAATGTTCACATCTAATTTTTTTTTCTTTAAGTATTTCCTATACCAACAGTTTATGTTTAAAATTCCGATGCAACGTTGCCACATTACTCCAATTTACTTTATTGTGGTATAAATAAAATAGAATCTTAATATACAGAGTGTTTATATATTTTTTTTAATAATTACAGTTGTCAAATGTTGATGTTTTAGTTAGTTTTTCTCAAGTAAAACACTAAAATATCGATATTACAGAACAACGTGTGTACCTCTGTTTATCACTCCATATATATTTCAAAACAGATCATAAAAATAACATTGTAATTTTTTTCGTGGACTCTACCTCTAAAGAAAAAATTCAAGAAAATTCGAATAAAACCTGGCAACGTCGCATCGGATTTTCAAAAATAAACTACGGGTATAAAGTCTACGAAGAGGACAGTGGGAAGATCTATAGATATTAAATATATAAGGTGTTTTATGTATAACAAAAAAACTAAGTCCTATGATATTTATGTCTCACAAACAAAACTTTCTGTATATTTGAGAATAATTTTAATGCATACTACTCAAAAAAACCTTATAACTGTGACTTTTTTGTATCTCTATTAATTAATGAATAATTTAGGACTGCGCGCTTAGTGACTCACATTGTATATCCAAATTTCCTTAAATTTTGAATTATTTAACTTCCATTGCCAAAAAATTCAAGAAAATTGAAATAAAACGTGGCAACATGGCATCAAAAATAAACTACGATTATAAAATCTCGGAAGAGGTTAATGGGAATATCTAAAAATATATAGGCTGGTTTATATATAAAAAACAAAGTTGTGTTATCCCACAAAACCAAAACACATAATTAATGAATAATCTAGGACCGCGCGATTAGTGACTCACCCTGTATAACTAAATCTCCTTAAATTTTGAGTTTTTTTTAACTTCCGCTGCCAAAAATATTCAAGAAAATTGGAATAAAACGTGGCAACGTCGCATCGGAGTTTCAAAAATTAAGTACGGTTATAAAGTCTCGGATGAGGCTAATGCGAATATCTAAAAATATATAGGGTGTTTTATATCTAGAAAAAACTAAGTTGTACGTTATGCTTCAAAAACAAAACACTCTGTATAGTCGAGAAAATTTTCAGTATATACTAATCAAAAAACCATATAACTGTAGTCTCCGACTTTTATCTTAGATATTAATGAATAATCTAGGACCACACGCTTAGTGACTCACCCTGTATATCAAAATCTCCCTTAAATTTTGAGTTTTTGAGCCAAGTTCCACTACCAAAAAAAATCAAGAAAATTGAAATAAAACGTGGCAACGTAGCACAGGATTTTCAAAAATATACTACGGTTATAAAGTCTAGGATGTAGTTTACGGGAACATCTAAAAATATATTGGGTGGTCTATATTAGAAAAAAAAACTAAGTTGTATGTCGTACCTCAAAAACAAAATCTGAATAGTCTAACTTCCGCTACCAAAAAAAAATTCAAGAAAGTTGGAATAAAAGGAACCAAGTTGTATGTTATGCTTTAAAAACAAAACACTCTGTATGGTCGAGAATAATTTCAGTGTATACTACTAATCAAACAACCATATAACTGTAGTTTCAGACTTTTTTGTATCTTTAAGAATTAATGAGTAACTTAGGACCGTGCGCTTAGTCACTCACCCTGTATATCAAAATCTTAAATTTTGCGTTTTTGGGTTAACTTCCACTACCAAAAAAATTTAAGAAAATTGAAATAAAACGTGGCAACGTCGCATAGGATTTTCAAAAATATACTACGGTTATAAAGTCTGGGATGTAGTTTATGGAAACATCTAAAAATATATAGGGTGGTCTATATTAAAAAAAAAAGTTGTATGTTGTGCCTCAAAAACAAAATCTAAATAGTCTAACTTCCACTACCAAAAAAAATTCAAATTTATAATTATACAAAAGCAACCAAGTTGTATGTTATGCTTTAAAAACAAAACACTCTGTATGGTCGAGAATAATTTCAGTGTATACTACTAATCAAAAAACCATATAACTGTAGTTTCAGACTTTTATCTATCTTTAAGAATTAATGAGTAATTTAGAATCGTGCGCTTAGTCACTCACCCTGTATATCAAAATCTTAAATTTTGTGTTTTTGGGTTAACTTCCACTACCAAAAAAATTCAAGAAAATTGAAATAAAACGTGGCAACGTTGCATAGGATTTTCAAAAATATACTACGGTTATAAAGTCTGGGATGTAGTTTATGGAAACATCTAAAAATATATAGGGTGGTGTATATTAAAAAAAAAAGTTGTATGTTGTGCCTCAAAAACAAAATCTGAATAGTCTAACTTCCACTACCAAAAAAAATTCAAGAAAGTTGGAATAAAACGTGGCAACCTTGCATTAGAATTTCAAAAATAAACTATACATAGTTATAAAGTCTAGGAAGACGCTAATGGGAATATCTAAAAATATATAGGGTGTTTTATATAAAATGAATCAAGTTGTATGTTATGCTTTAAAAACAAAACACTCTGTATGGTCGAGAATAACTTCAATGTACACTACTGATCAAAAAATCATATAACTGTAGTTTCAGACTTTTTTTATATCTTTAAGAATTAATAAGTAATTTAGAATCTTGCGCTTAGTCACTCACCCTGTATATCAAAATCTTAAATTTTGAGTGTTTGGGTTAACCAAAAAAATTCAAGAAAATTGAAATAAAACGTGGCAACGTCGCATAGGATTTTCGAAAATATACTACGATTGCAAAGTCTAGGACGTGGTTTACGGAAACATCTAAAAATATATAGGGTGGTCTATATTAAAAAAAAAAAGTTGTATGTTGTGTCTCAAAAACAAAATCTGAATAGTCTAACTTCCACTACCAAAAAAAATTCAAGAAAATTCGAATAAAACGTGGCAACGTCGCATCGGAGTTTCAAAAATAAACTACAGTTATAAAGTCTAGGAAGAACTAATGGGGATATCTACAAATATATAGGGTGTTTTACATTAAAAAAAAACTAATTTATATGTTGTGCTTCAAAAACAAATTGAATAAATGTCAGTGTAGACGAATCAAAAAATCATATAACTGTAGTTTGACTTTTTTTATATATTATATATTAATGAATAATGTAGAGCCGCTTAGTGATATACCCTGTATATCAAAATCTCCTTAAATTTTGAGCTACCAAAAAATTCAACAAAATTGAAATAAAACGTGACAACGTCGCATAGGAATTTCAAAAATATACTATGGTTATAACGTGTAGGATGTAGTTAATGGAAACATCTAAAAATATATAGGGTGTTCTATATTAGAAGAAAAACTAAGTTGTATGTTATGCTTCAAAAACAATATCTGAATAGTCGAGGATAATTTCAGTGTATATTGTTCAAAAAAACTATAAAACTGTAGTCTTTGACTTTTTTATATCTCCAATAATTGATGAATAATCTAGGACCGCGCGGTTAATGACTCACCCTGTATATCAAAATCTCTTTAGATTTTTAATTTTTGGGCTAACTTCCGCTACCAAAAAAATTCAAGAAAGTTGGAATAAAACGTGGCAACGTCGCATCGGAGTTTCCAAATTAACTACAGTTATAAAGTCTAGAAAGAAAATAATGGGAAATATCTAAAAATAGATAGGGTGTTTTATATAAAAGGGACTAAGTTGTATGTTATGCTTTAAAAACAAAACAGTCTGTATAGTCGAGAATAATTTCAGTGTATACTAATCAAAAAACCATAGTAACAGTAGGCTCTGACTTTTTTATATCTTATATATTAATGAATAATCTAGAACCGCACCCTTGGTGATACACCCTGTATATCAAAATTTCTCTAAATTTTGAGTTTTTGGGCTACTTGCGCTACCAAAAAATTCAAGAAAATTGGAATAAAACATGGCAACGTCGCATAGGAATTTCGAAAATATACTACGGTTATACAGAAAAAAAAACTAAGTTGTATGTTGTGCCTCAAAAACAAAATCTGAATATTCGACGATAATTTCAATGCATATGTTCAAAAAACCGTGTAACTGTAGTCTTTGACTTTTTTATATCTCTAATAATTAATTAATACTCTAGAACCGCCCGGTTAATGACTCACTCTGTATATCAAAATTTCTTTCAATTTTGAATTTTTGGGCTAACTTCCGCTACCAAAAAAATTCAAGAAAGTTGGAATAAAACATGGCAATGTCGCATCGGATTTTCAAAAATAAACTAGTTATAAAATCTAGGAAGAAGCTAATGGGAATTTCTAAAAATATATAGGGTGTTTTATATAAAAAACTAATTTGTATGTTGTGCTTCAAAAACAACACACTCTGTATAGTCGAGAATAATTTCAGTGTAATTCTAGTCTGACTTTGTTATATCTTTAATAATTAATGATTAATCTAAGACCGTGCGCTTAGTCACTCACCCTGTATATTAGAATCTTAAATTTTGCGTTTTTGGGTTAACTTCCACTACCAAAAAAATTCAAGAAAATAAATGTGGCAACGTCGCATTGCAGTTTCAAAAATATAAACTACGATTATAATGTCTAGGAAGAGGCCAATCGGAATATCTGAAAATATATAGGGTGTTTTATATATAAAAAAACTATGTTGCATGTTATGCCTCATAAACAAAACACTCTGTATATTCCAGAATAATTTTGATGTATACTCATCAAAAACCCGTGTCTGAGACTTTTTTATACCTCTAAGAATTAATGAAAATCGGGGACTGCGCGCTTAGTGACTCACCCAATATATCAAATCTCTTTAAATTTTCAACTTTTGGGCTAACTTCCACTACAAAAAAATTCAAGAAAATAAATATGGCAACGTTGCATTAGAGTTTCGAAAATAAACTATGATTATAATGTCTAGGAAGAGGCCAATGGGAATATCTGAAAATATATAGGGTGTTTTATATATAAAAAAAACTAAGTTGTACGTTAGCCTCATAAACAAAACACTCTGTATATTCCAGAATAATTTTGATGTATACTACTCAAAAAATCGTGTAACTGTGGTCTGTGACTTTTTTATACCTTTAGGAATTAATGAATAATCGAGGACCGTGCGCTTAGTGACTCACCCTGTATATCATTAAATATATCTTTAAATTGAGTTTTTGCGCTAACTTCCACTACTAAAAAAAATCAAGAAAATTGGAATAAAATGTGGCAACGTCGCATCAATACCCTCTAAGAAAAGAGACGGAGGGTGGGTGGGTGGGGCTGGTACCTGCTAAGATAAGAGTAATTTTGGCAAATGGGATACCATCGAAAAAAAGAGAGGGCGGGTGGGCGGGGCTACTACCTGATAAGATAAAACTGATTTTGGCAAATGAGATAATCCCTAAAAAAAGAGAGGGCGGGTGGGGGGGCTACTACCTGATAAGATAAAACTGATTTTGGTAAAAGAAATACCCTCTAAGAAAAGAGACAGAGGGTGGGTGGGCGGGGGTAGTACCTGATAAGATAAAACTGATTTTGGTAAAAGAAATACTCTCTAAGAAAATATGTCAAAATTGCCAAATGAAGAAAGAAAATTTGGTAGTCATCATTCATCAAACAATGATTCCTATAGTATTAACTGTACAGCTGAACATTTGTCGTACAACAAAAATTTATATTTTGTTTTATCTGGCGAAATTTCGAGACGCGTCATCAAGGTTTGGTAGTCATCATTCATCAAACAATGATTCCTATAGTATTAACTGTACAGCTGAACATTTGTCGTACAACAAAAATTTATATTTTGTTTTATCTGGCGAAATTTCGAGACGCGTCATCAAGGTTTGAAAGGGAATAAACAGATTTGGATTGGCGATTTACCATGTTTGGAAGTAAAAATATAAGGACGTCATTTAAAATTAAAATGATTTTGTCTTTGTTTTTTATAGCTGGTCAAGAGCTCAAATTTGGTGAACGCCAAAATTTCTCTTTGTATTTTTCTTACGTGTGACTAAGCAGTTTGTTCAAAAATAGATTTAACCTCATTAACGATTGCGCATTAAATTTGGGCTCGCAAGTGGCTACGCCAAACAAAAACAAAAACTAAGTTAATTCAAACAAACGTTCAATCACTTGTCATTAAAGAGTTACGTATTATTTGAGGTTCTTATTTACTGAACATGGTTGCTTTCCAAATTGTTTTCATTTTTATTGTAACCTTTGAATAAAAACAAAAACAGTGTGTGACCTCATAACTCACTCATTTTAAATACAAATATGGAAATTGCGAAAAATTGGCAATGTTTCTTTTATTGAAATTGCGGCAACCGTTCCCATTTCATATTTAAATTTGATTGGTTGTAATTACCTCGACAAAGCTCAAGATGGTGCCTCGCACTGCATCTATGGGTATCGAGCACGTCTTCTGGGTCCTGTCCTCCCCGATCGCCTCCAGCAGCAGCTTCACCAACCGCTGCCCCAATGGGGCTATCATCCCAGACTGCCACACTTCCAGCGCCAACTCCCCGATCTCCATTTGTTCGCCACCTGACGAGTCCGAGCTGCCGTAAATAATTTCAGCGTCCGACATCTTCTGCGTCCTTATATGTTGTTGATTTAAATACAAATACAGACTGTGCAGGTACTGGCTGCCCACGGAGTACTGCGACCAGTAATGGTAGTAACTTTTGATCAAGCTTTGTTCGCCCTCCTCTTGCACCTGGACCAGGAGCTTGGAGACGTGGTCGATGAGGTACTGCTTCGTCTCCGCATACAGCCTATCGGCCATGGGCTCCGGGTGGGCCACACACAGCGAGTAGACGTCCCTAAGGGCGGTTTTATAGCCGTGGTCGTTTTAGCGGCGTCGGGTACTTACGAGAAGCGGTCGTTCCATATGGGCCTCGGCACGTGGTCCAGCGTGATGACCCCTTTGATCGTGTCCCTGATAGCCCCCCAAGTTTGGTTAAAATCAACACGGCGCGGTTTCAAAGACATCTTCGCTCAAAACTGACAGTTGGAAATGACAAAGCGTTTCTAAAAATAATGCGCAAAATTTCTCTGTCACAACATAAACACGAATCCTGAATGCTGGGCTGGTTGGGGGGGCTTATTAATAAATTTTATTTTTTGTCACCTCGTCGAGGGAGTTTTGCGGGGGTTGGAGGTCTTGGCGGTTTTGCGGGTTTCGAGTGGTTATTTTTTCAATCTCTGTGAATTTTTCACTGATTTTACAAACATCCTTGAATTTATGACGGAGGGAACGGGGTCAATTTGACGTATGAATGTCAGCTGGTGACACCATCTTGGTTTTCGAAATTCGGGGAATGTGACGGGGCGGCCGACGGGGTTTGGGTCGGGGCGATGGGGTTGGAATTTTTTTGGTTGAGAATGTGGTGTGAAAAATTTGGAATGTTGATTAAATTCACCAAAGGAGAATTTCGAGTGTTGGGTTGGTAGCGGGGAAATGACGCCTGCGCCACCTGTGGGATCTTTACGGTAGCTGTGATTCTTGTAAGATTGGTAGAGGGAGCTGGTGTCGTGAAGCTGTCAAAGCGATAAAAATAAAAAGTTTCGTTTTTCTGTTCATTATTGATTTTGAAAACTTTGTTTTTTATTTACGTAAAACTTAGTTCTATTTAAATGCCTCCGACACACTTAAAATTGAAACTGCAACTGTTTATAGAGATTTTTTTATTTCATCAGTTCTGAGTTTTTTCAGGATGAAAATAAAATTATTGAGTAGATTTTTGACGATATTTTTATGTACTTACGCTATGCATACCAATGAACTTTACGTCTGTCTTGGAAACTCTAAATTATAGATCGGCATACTAATAAGATGACCCAGTTTTCGCCAGGACCGTATCCGTCCTATTATATAAAATTTTATAAGAGAGTTTTCAGAAAAAAAAATCCTAAAAATCCGATCCACAGTATTTTATATTGAACATTATTATTTGGTATTTCTTACTTAATTTTTTTATGTCTTATTTCTTGCATTATGTTTGGGCCTGAAGGTCATGTAGACGGAGCTTCCTTGGATCCTTGGCTCCTGTTACACTTGGCAATAAAATTATAAAACTGCATTGTGCGAATTAATTTTTCGATTTAAAATTTTTTGAATTTTTAGTTTTTTATTTTTCGATTTTCTTCAAATTTTTCGCAATTTTTCATTTCTATGTTTTATTTTCTTTATTTTTACAATTTTTCGATTGTTCAACGTTCCGATTTTATAATTTTTTTGTTTTTTTTTTCGATTTTTCGATTTTTCAATTTTCATTTCTTCCGTTTTTCGTTTCGGTTTTTTATTTTCTTTATTTTTTCAATTTTTCGGTTTTTCAGTGTTCTGATTTTATCATTTTTCTTTCAGTATGAAATTTTACCGTTTTTCGACTTTACAATTTTGATGATTCTGTAATTTTTTCAGTTAACAATTTTTGGGTTTTCCAATTTTTCGATTAGATTCGATTTTTCTTTTTTCCAAATTTTCGATTTTTGTTTTAGATTTTTAGTTTTCGAATGTTGCAATTTGTCGTTTCTTCAGTTCTTCGGTTTGCAATTTTTCGATTTTCCAGTTTTCCGATTTTGCAAATTCTTGTTTTTCCATTTTTTCACAACTTTTCGAATCAAGAAAACTGAAAAATTACGACAATGTAAAGTTGGAAAATCAAAAATTAAAAGACGAAAAAGTATAAAAAGAAAACTTTGAAAAATCTAAAAATTGGAAATGATGAACTTGAAAAACTGAAGAAACGAAAAAGTGCAAATTCTAAAAAGCGAAATGTTGTTAAGTAAAAATATTGAAAATTAAAGAAATCGGAAAAGCGAATAATTGAGAAATCCAAAAAATGCTAAATTTAAAATTTAAAAATAGGAAAATCGAGAAATTGAAAAATTAATAATTGAAAATTTGGAAAATTGAATAAGAAAAAGTTATAAAATCGAAAGAAACTTTGAAAAAATAAAACAAATGAGAAAGCGTAAAATTGTGAAAATCGGGAAAATGAAAATTAGAAAATCGGGAAAATGAAAAATAAACATGAAGAACTTGAAAAATTGAGAAAACAAAAAAATAAAATTTTTTTCACTTCTTCAGTTTTTTATTTCTTCAATTTTTGATTTGCAATTTTTCTAATTTTGTTCGAAATATGTAATAATATTTATAATTAAAAAAAGTCACTTTTCCAATTTTACGATTTTAGAATTTTTCCATTTTTCAATTACTGGATTTAAAATTTTTTTCATTTATTGGATTTTTCGATTGTTCCATTTGTAGTTTTTGATTTTCTCGATATTTAACTTTTGAATTTTGCGATCTTTCTTTTTCGATTCGATTCGTTTTTTGTTCGTTCCATTTTTTCGATTTTTTTTTTCTCGATTTTTAGTTATTGAAGTTTTCGGTTTTCCCGTATTTCGTTTTTTTTTAGTTTTTGGATTTTTCAAGTTTTCCGATTTTTCAGTTTTTCTATTTTTAATTTTTGATTTTTTAGTTTTCGATTTTACAACTTTTCGAATTGAAAAATTGAAAAATTGCAACATTGTGAAGTTGGAAAATCAGAAATGAAAAAACGAATAAGTGTAAAAAGAAAACTTTGAAAAATCTGAAAATTGGAAACGAAAACTTGAAAAATTGACGAAACGAAAAAGTGCAAAATCGAAAAAAACGAGATATCGTAAAACGGAAATATTGAAAATTAAAGAAATCAGGAAAATTGGATTACTGAGAAATCAAAAACAAAAAAAAATTATAACATCGATAGAAACATTAAAAAAATAAAACAAATTCGAGAAAGCGAAAGATTGTGACAAAATCGGGAAAACGGAAACTAAAAAATCGGGTAAATGAACATGAAGAACGCAAAAAATTGAGAACGCAAAAAATTGAAAAATCAAAAAATTAAAAATTGGGGAACTGAAAACTTGAAGCATTGAAAAACTGAGGTGAAATTTTTCAGTTTTTGGATTTTCTAATTTTTCGATTCTTCAATTTTTCATTTCTTCAGTTTTTTATTTCTTCAATTTTTGATTTGCATTTTTTCTAGATTTATTTTAAATATGTAATAATATTTATAATTTAAAAAAGTCACTTTTTCAATTTTACGATTTTAGAATTTTTCCATTTTTCAATTACTGGATTTTAAAACTTTTTCATTTATTGGATTTTTCGATTGTTCAATTTGTAGTTTGTGAATTACTCGATATTTAACTTTTCAATTTTGTTATCTTACAGTTTTTTGACTTTACAATTTTAATGATTCTGTAATTTTTCGATTTTACAGTTTTTGGGTTTTCCAGTTTTTCGATTCGATTCGTTTTTTCTTCTTTCCAGTTTTTCGTTTCTTCAGTTCTTCGGTTTGCAACTTTTCGATTTTCCAGTACTGAGAAATCCAAAAAATGCAAAATTTAAAATTTAAAAATAGGAAAACCGAGGAATGAAATTTTGAAAAATTGAATAAACAAAAAATTATAAAATCGATAGAAACATTGAAAAAATAAAACAAATGGGAAAGCGAAAAATTGTGACATAAAATCAAGAAAACGAAAACTAAAAAATCGGGTAAATGAAAAATAAACCTGAAGAACTTGAAAAATTGAGAAAACAAAAAATTGAACAATCAAAAAATTTAAAATTGGGAAACTGAAAATTTGAGAAATTGAAAAACTGAGGTGAAATTTTTTAGTTTTTGGATTTTTTAATTTTTCGTTTCTTTGGTTTTTTATTTCTTCAATTTTTGATTTGCAATTTTTCTAGTTTTCATTTTAATTTTGTAATAAGTAATAGTTCAATTTTACGATTTTTTTAGGTTTTTAAATTTCTTTATTTTTTCAATTTTTCGGTTTTTCAATGTTCTGATTTTATTTTATTTTTCAATGTGAAATTTTTCAGTTTTTGGATTTATAATAATAGAAAAATGTTTTTAGATTGTTCTATTTGTGTGTAGTTTTCTAATTTCTCTATATTTATTCAATTTCGTTATCTTTCAATATTACAATTTTCTTACTTTACAATTTTGATGATTCTGTAATTTTTTACAGTTTTTGGGTTTTCCAATTTTTCGATTTTTTTCTCGATTTTTAGATTTCGATTATTGTAATTGTCGTTTCTTCAGTTTTTCGGTTTGCAATTTTTCGATTTTCCAGTTTTTCGATTTTGCAAATTCTCGTTTTTTCAGTTTGTCAATTTTTCAATTTTTTCCGATTTTTTAGTTTATTCTATTTTTCAGTTTTCCGATTTTACAACTTTTCGAATCAAAAAAATTGAAAAACTGCTACATTGTAAATTTGGAAAGTCAAAAATAAAAAATTATAAAAAGAAAACTTTTGAAAAACCTAAAAATTGAAAACAAAGATCTTGAAAAACTGAAGAAACGAAAAAGTGCAAAATGTGCTGAAAATTTAAAAATAGGAAAATCAAAAATTGAAAATTTGAAAAATTGAATAAGCAAAAAATTATAAAATCGAAAGAAACATTGAAAAAATAAAAGAAATGAGAAAGCGAAGAATTGTGACAATCAAAGCGGGGAAATGAAAAATACACATGAGAAAATAGAAAAATTGAGAAAACAAAAAATTGAAAAATCGAAAAGTTAAAAATTGAGAAACTGAAAACCTGAAAAATTGAGGTGAAATTTTTCACTTTTTGGATTTTCTAATATTTCGTTTCTTCAATGTTTCGTTTCTTCAATTTTTTATTTCTTCAATTTTTGATTTGCAATTTTTTTAGTTTTATTTGAAATGTGTAATAATAATTTTACGATTTTAAATTTTTTCCATTTTTCAATTCCTTTTTTTTCATTTATTCGATTTTCGATTTTTCTACTTGTAGTTTTTGAATTTCTCGATATTTAACTTTTCAGTTTTGCGATCTTTCAGTATTACAGTTTTTCGACTTTTGAATTTTTATGATTCTGTAATGTTTCGAGTTTACAGTTTTTGGGTTTTCCAATTTTTCGATTCGATTCGTTTTTTCTTCTTTCCAGTTTTTCGATTTTTTTTCTAGATTTTTAGTTTTTGAATGTTGCAATTTTCCGTTTCTTCAGTTCTTCAATTTGCAACTTTTCGATTTTGCAATTTCTCGTTTTTTTAGTTTTCCGATTTTTCAATTTTTCCGATTTTTTTTTAGTTTTTTCAATTTTTCAATTTTTCCGATTTTTTAGAAAAAAAAATCGGAAAAATTGCAACATTATAAAGTTGGAAAATAAAAATGAAAAAGCGAAAGTCCAAAAAGAAAACTTTGAAAAATCAAAAAATTGGAAATGAACAACTTGAAAAACTGAAGAAACAAAAAAGTGCGAAATCAAAAAAAAAAATTGTAAAACAAATATTGAAAATTAAAAAAATCGGAAAATCGGATAATTGCAACATTCTAAAACTGCAAAATTTAAAATTCAAAAGTAGGAAAATCGAGGAATTGAAAAATCA